AACAAAGTGCTAGAAGAACCAAACGGAACTCACAGGTGAAGGATTCTCACAAGTAGGTTCACATTCTGTTCCACACTCGACGAGCACCTCATGTAGATCAGGATCGCAAACTAAAATTCATCATAACGAATTGGTATTCACATGTTACTGCACCTGGAGGAGGAGTAGGTGGATAGGTTGGTGGATAGGTTGGGGGATAGGTTGGCGGATATGTGGGTCTAGTAGGTCTGGTAGGTCTGGTCGGGCGAGTGGGTCTCGTTGGTCTGGTGGGTTTGGTTGGTGGTGTTGGAGTGGGACATTGTCCTTCCGGAATACAAACGTGATCAGGACCTCTAACATATCCTTCTGGACATTGACAGGCGTTAATCACGCAAACATTTGAACACATCTGAATCACATTGGGTAAATCCGAATGAGTAATGGGTGATATGTCGAAGAGACTGAGAGGCGAATTAATCGAAACTCACAGGTGAAGGATTCTCACAAGTAGGTTCACATTCAGTTCCACACTCGACGAGCACCTCGTGTAGATCAGGATCGCAAACTAAACTTCATCATAACGAGTTAGTGGATTCATAAGTTACAGCACCTGGAGGAGGAGTAGGTGGATAAGTTGGTGGATAAGTTGGTGGATAGGTTGGCGGATAGGTTGGCGGATATGTGGGTCTAGTAGGTCTGGTAGGTCTGGTCGGGCGAGTGGGTCTTGTTGGTCTGGTGGGTTTAGTTGGTGGTGTTGGAGTGGGACATCGTCCTTCCGGAATACAAACGTGATCGGGACCTCTAACATATCCTTCTGGACATTGACAGGCGTTAATCACGCAAACATTCGAACACATCTGAATCGCATTGGGTGAATCCAAATGAGTAATAAAGATATATAGAACAAAGTGCTAGAAGAATCAAACTGAACTCACAGGTGAAGGATTCTCACAAGTAGGTTCACATTCTGTTCCACACTCGACGAGAACCTCATGTAGATCAGGATCGCAAACTAAAACACTTTGTGATTTCAAAAAAAGTGGTATTAACCTGGTGGTGGATGAGTCGGTGGATACGTAGGTGGATAAGTCGGTGGGTAGGTAGGTCTTGTTGGCCGGGTAGGTCGTGTTGGCCTAGTTGGTCGTGTTGGTCTGGTGGGAGGTGTAGGAGTTGAACACTGTCCTTCCGGAATACAAATGTTATTTGGCCCTCTCACGTAACCATTTGGACACTGACATACATTGAGCACACAAAGAGTAGAACAAATCTGAAATAAATACCACACTCGTCGTAGAGTTATTTTCGTAATGCTCACGGGGTATGGATTTTCACATGTAGGTTCACATAGTGTTCCGCACTCAACAAGAACTTCATGCAGATAAGGATCGCAGACTGGAAATAACAGTATTCTTTTTATCTCAACTGTTATTAATTTACCTGGTGGTGGATGTGTTGGTGGGTAAGTCGGTGGGTAAGTGGGTGGGTGAGTCGGTGGGTAAGTCGGTGGATATGTTGGTGGGTACGTCGGTGGATAAGTTGGTGGGTATGTTGCATATGTGGGGTGTGTAGGCCTAGTTGGTCTTGTAGGCCATGTTGGTGGAGTTGGTCTCGTAGGTTTTGTTGGTCTTGTAGGTCTTGTAGGTCTGGTAGGTCTTGTAGGTCTGGTTGGCCGGGTGGGCGGAGTGTACGGGGGTGAAGTTGGGCATTGTGTCTCCAAAATACAGTATTGGTCAGGTCCACGTACATAGCCTGCTGGACATTGGCAAACGTTCGGTATACATTGTTCTGTGCAAATCTAAACCATAACAGTAATTTGAGAGTTCTGTTTGTGGAGTAGGAAAACTTACAGGATGAGGATCGATACAACTAGGTTCGCAGGCTGAGCCACATTCAACCAAAATTTCGTTCAAATTGTAGTCACAGGCTGTAATTAATAAGAAGGTTTCACTGTACAGCTATATGAAGCACTTTTGGGAGGGTTTGTACCATACGTTGGTGGTAAAGTAGAGTACGAAGGAGGAGTAACGTATGGTGGAGGTGTAGTAGGATATTGGTCTGAATTTCCAGGGCACTCCTGCTTTTGAACACATACTCGATCATTCTGTCGGACGAGACCAGCAGGACATTGACAAACGTTTAACACGCATTGCAACGTGCAAACCTTGAAAAATTGAAGAAAACCATTATGTTTTAGCATACGTGAAGATTCTCCTACCGGTTCGGGATTCTCACATGTTGGTTCGCAAGCTGATCCACACTCCAAATGCACTTCGTTCAGATCGTCTCGACAAACTATAGATAAATTTATTTCTACTTGCAATATAATGGTATGGACCGATAGGAGCAGGTGGGTGAATAGGAGAACTAGTTGAAGTTGTTGGATATACTTGATGAACTGGATAGGTTATGGGTGGGCGTGTGGAGTCGCTGCATCTCCTTAGAGGGACACAAACTCCATCATGTCTCCTTACTAGGCCAGTGCGACACTGACAAATATTGGAAACACAACCCTGGTTACAAACCTATAAAAACCATCACAACTGTTTTCAATACTAAATTATTAACTGGATGAGGATTTGTACAAGTTGGTTCACAAGCGGTTCCACACTCCTTTAATTGTTCACGCCATTTCCTGCGGCATACTGAAACTTCACTATGGTTACGATTAAGGAACAGTTTTCCAAACCTGGAACCGCAGTATCGCAATCTTTTGGAAGTACACAATTTCCTTCCTTGTTTCGATAAAATCCACGGTCGCACTCACATTTGTTAACAATACATTGCAGTGAGCATTGCTTAAAAAAACATTTTTCATACGACTGTCTATTGATCTAGAATTTCAGATGTTCCCAAGATGAGATTCTGATACAGCGAAACGCTTCAAACAAAAAATTCTCAGATTCCTCTCAAAATCTTATCTGCTGGTGCATCAAGTTAACTTCAGTTACTCTTGAAAGAATTTCAACGCTGATAGCACTCATATGGAAAACTTAATAAAGAAATCATTTTGACAGAAAACTATTATTCTAACTTCTCAAGGCTACTTTCATCGTTTTCGATTTTAATAACGATTGCAACTATAATATAAAAAGAGAAAGACATAGGACGAAAACTTACCGGGTTTCTGTTCTCGCAAGTAGGTTCGCAAACTGATGCACATTCGGACAGAACTTCATTATCGTGGCAGTCTGTAAAGGAGCATGGGATCTTCCAGGAAATATATGGACACAACCGCGCGCAATGGTTTTGATTACAAAAATGAAAAGCCACATAGTTTTTCTCTCGTGATATGCAAATGAGTCAGATGTCTTCCGGTCGTGCAAGCTTTTTTTCAACTTCTGTTTTAAAGTTAAAATAGGCTCTGTTCTCTCGTAAGAGTTTACCGAACATCACTTTTTTAGATTTGTTATCTAACTTCACCGTTCAGATAAAACAAAAAGAAAAATTTTCGGTTCGATTCCAGTTTTACATACTGAGTTCTCGATATTGAAAAGACAATATCTTACTCAATATACTCTTACTTAATCTCTCATAACAGATCAGACATTTCGTGTACGACTAGAACCTACCTCCACATGTAGAGCCCACGCAAGCAATTTTCATATAGTTAGCCCCAGGTGGTTTGTTAATATTCCATGATGGAGGCTTGATATTAACTACTCTGGGAGCAGGAGGAGAAATTAAATTAGTGCTGGTAGGACGAATGACGATGTTGTTTGTCGAAACAGATTTGCTTCCTTGATTTGTCATAGAATTTCCTGGATAAACAATACAATTTCTGTCTTGCATATAGCAAGTTTTTTTCTTACCGCTCGAAACGGAAACAACATTAGAGCTGATTGAATGTGACTGGTCAACCAGATTGTTTATATTGAAATTGTCAATAAAATGTTGAGCAAAGTTGCTAGTTGTAGTAGTTGGTTCATGATCCTCTTGATATTCATAATCGCCATCGGTATATTCACCGAGCTGATCATCAAGTTGACAGTCTTTTTGCGGAATACATTTTTGTTGTTTGCTACTCATAACATAATCGTCACGACACTGGCACACTCGATTAGCGCACCCAGGTATCGGCCGGCAAACCTGCAGAAAAACAAAAGTCAATGATGAAATAAACCAAATAATGAACTCTTGCGCATGTTGAGACACAGCCCAGTTCACAGCCCATAGCCATGTTCTCGCCACAAGCTGAAAAACAACATAAAATGAACGCTTTCAAGAGGGTAAGAACGAACAATTGCGATTTCCGGTACTCCATCCATCACGCCTGTATTTAAAGTGACTATTTGATCGAACAGCAAAATTTCTTCGTAGATGTTTTCTGCGAACTGTAAACAACCTGTGGTCAAGATAAAATGAGCTTCCAACAACTCACACAAGGAATTCGGATGAGGTGCTAAGGCTGCAAATAAAATACTTGGTATTATACCAAGTAGTAGTGCTATTACCCAGCCCTGTAATAATCATTAGATTTTTGAGAACTTTGTAAATATAATTACCTTCATGGCAAATGAGAGTAACAGAGAACCACAGCATCTTTAGAACTTAGACACTTTTTATACCCCTTGTCATCTTGACCTCGGTTTCGTGAATCGCCACAGTACTGAAACCCATCTATTAGTGATGCCAAAACAAGGTTAGGTTACTATTTTCATGAAATTCCAGCATATCCTCTTCAAATTGCTCCACCCATTGTCGGTCTCGTATCTCTCGTGTTCGAGAGCTCTCTGCTCCAATACTAAACTGAGGCGCGCCCCAAAGCAAACAGTGACCGCCCCGCAGATGAAGCGTATATGTTAAGCTTCTTGAGCCATTATTGAATTTTCCGTATAGCTTCTTTAATCTTTTAGTATATCTTACAATATGTGAGGATTATGCGGATTATAATTGTTTCAATGAAGATGCTTAATACCAATCCCCAGCTCATTCAATGTACGATTTTCATTTTTAGCTTTAAGATTGTCATTGCTCATTAACCCTCCCACGACGACATTTCTATTATATCTTAATATGACCTTATGGTAAATACTGCTGACGAAACAAGTAAAACTACTACAGAACAAGAAAATTTGAAAGATGCTTCAAGAGGTAAAGTTTATCTTCTCTTCCTGCTTACTGTACTTTTACAGCCCAAGGGACCGGATTACGGAGCTATGATAGTCCGCGGCGCTGCCGGAGTTGTAATCGCGATTTCACTAAGTTTGATATTCCTAGTAGTCGGGAACTTGATATACACAAGTCTGACGGACAAGGGGGAAGTTCGTCGCAGGGTTCGTGCTATTGTTTTCTATTTATTCAATTTTCATTCCCTCAGAAACATCATTAGGTGTGAATTTACGCGCCCGCATTACAACTTTATCTAATTTAGCTTTATTTACATATTTAAAACCAAGGTTCACTTCTAGTAATAGCAGCATCAGGTTTGAACGGTCGATTAATGGTGTTTCTTTACTTCTCTTTTTTACAGTAATAAATTTCGATCATGTCATTCGGACAATCACGACACAATTTGCCAATCTAAAGTTTCTTTCAAGTGCGACGAGGCGTCATCTTTTTTAGAATTTCCTGATTCATCTGCGACGACAGCTTCAAATCCCGAGACTGATGACAGTAAGCACATTAATCTATTATTAGTTACAAAGTCGCATTTTATCTCTCGCTTAACCATATGTTCTTATCAGATAAGAAGCGAAAAGTGTCTCGTCCACACAAATTGTTTTTAAAAAAAAAAGAAAATCAAATGACATAACAAGATATTTTCACTATTCATCTTTGCTTTCGCCTTATGATTCTACTTTTTTCATTGGGAATTCTTATATCATAAAAAGGGTTGCTATGACAATCTTGTTTCATCCGTATGGCTGAAGTGTATCTAATATAAATCCAACGGCTTTCATAAAAATGTCCTATTTTCACTTTTTATGGCTATTTTAATCTTTTCCATTTATCTGTTCCAGATAGTTCCGTCAGTGCCATGCAACCATCAAAAATTATACAAAAATTCAATTTGAAGTCGTCCAAGTCTCGGTAATTCCGCTTTTCCTGCTCCTCTAATCTTGCTCAATCTTTTTTAGGTCTAAGACCCCGTTCTGTCCATGTTTCTCTCCAAACGTCTCATCAGACTCCAGTTGTGATTCAGATGAAGAAGAAAAAGAGACGGAAAGTAATTTAAATATTGATGAAGCGTTGAGAAAAAGATTAGCCATCGTCGGACAAGCATCTAACCAATTGCCTTTTGTGAAATCGAAGCCTGGTAAATCTTTTTTGCTTTGAGGATTCTCTTCATTTTCGAACATTACAGAAGTGCCTGTACATAAAATAGTTGAATACTCCTATCATCTTGTACCTGATATGAACAAAATTTATGCCTCTACCTATTATTGGGGCGTAATGGACAGATTCAAAGCAGAAGAGCTGTTAGAAGATAAACCGGAAGGTGTGACTGATGGTTGATTGCAAACAGTGACGATTTCATTTCAGGAACTTTTCTATTACGTGATAGTGCCCAGAATGAGTTCCTGTTTTCCGTATCTTTTCGAAGGTTTAACCGAACTCTTCATGCCAGAATAGAACAAGTTCGCATGGTTTCATCAACGATAGAAAGTAATTCTGTTTTTTCCAGGAAAATCATCGTTTCGGTTTTGATATTCTCGACCAAACAATTTTTTCTTCCGAATCAATAACGACTCTCATTGAGAATTATAAGGATGTCTACAGGTTTTTCCTATATTATGAAGTGCTTTGACGTTTGTTGGTTCAGATGTTTGTTTTTTGAGCCACAACTAACACATCCTTTACATCGAAGTCACGTATTTTCTCTTCAGGTTTGAGTCTTCTTAAGATTTGTATCGATTTCCTTTCTCACAGGAATTATGTAGAGCTTCTGTGGCCAGCAAAACGAATTACACGAGAGTTTCGGAATTAGATCTTCCTTCGAAACTGAAACAGTACATCCGTCAATATCATTATACTGTAAGTGTTAGGACTGTTTACAATGCGCATGATTGACTTTCTTGGCATAATTCTATAAGCATAATTAACTTTTACTTAAAGACGATTGCTTTACCCTCTATGTATAATAATGTATTTATAAAAGTTAATACTTTTTACTTTTTGACCGGTAATAAGCAAGTATTAAATAGAAAACCCAAATATGGCTAAATATATCTTAATTATGGTCTCTACCACAGTTTTGAAATCACAGTTCATCTTTCTTGAATAGCTTCTCGAGGACAATTTCGAAATGAAGATAGGCGTTGGATGGGATTCTGGGTGGTCGTCCTTTCTCTCCATAAGCTGAAATATTGTTATAAGCTACTTTCCGAATTTAATTTTTTACCAAGCTCTGGTGGGATTACAACTTTTCTGCGCTCGCCCTCGCACATGCCATCCATAGCAACATCCATACCATCTATGACCTCGAAAGATTGTTTTTAGTGTTTGTAGGTAAAAAATCAATTACTTGTTTGCTTCCTAGAACAAAAACGAAAGGTTTGTTACGGCTCCAGCTCGAATCAACGAAGGATCCATCTTCCAAGTACAGTGTGTATTGTTGGTGAAGGGTATCTCCTTTAACAGCTTTCTTACATTCTTCTGGTTCAATTTCATGGGTGACCTAAGTTGAAACTTTCGTGAAAGAACTTTTTTTTAAACTTACTGTGATATGAACTCCGTCATCAGTTACCCACTTGTCTCCTGCACGTGGGCGGAAAATGCTCTTGAGCTCGACGAAATAGTACAAAGTTTCTCCTTCCTAAAATATTATCATTTTTTGAAGAAATATGTAAGAAGTGACTCACAGAAATGTTATCTAAATCTCTTCCAGAATCTCCAAAACCCTCATCAGGTGGAATGACTATCTATAAAAAAAAATTCCATATATTTTTTTTTAGTGATGATACTTTTCTCTGTTCGCCGGCGCACATGCCTTCCATAGCAATATCCATACCACGAATGACTTCACCTCGTCCCAAGACGAAAGTGAATCTGAAAAATTATTTGTACAAACGGATTTTGTTCTAAATCTAAGCCAAGCACTGTTTTCTTCTTATCTTCAAAATAGCACTAGTTGCACAGAGCTGTTGCATTCCGAAAAAAAAACTTACGGTTTCCCTCCGAAGTTGCTTCCAACTACTTTTCCTTCTTTATTAGAGAGTTTGTAGAACTGTTCGAGAGTATCTCCGACTTCTGATTTGATTTTACATTTGGAGTCTGTGAAAAAAAGGTTGAAAATAGAATGAAAAGTTAGTAATACCTGGAATCTTCTTGATGATTTCAATTTTGATACCTTCCTCGGTTAACCACGAGCGCTGATCAGCTGCTAAAGCAATACCGACGAGAGCACAAAGAGCAACGAACTTCATTTTGTGTTTGGATTAATTACTGCAAAGGTAAGAATAAATTGTCGTACTCATAACTGTTTTCATAGGCAATCCATCTAAGGTCATCACTGATCCAGATTCGAGATCGATAAAATAAATTCTTTCAGATCAATATTATTCATATACTCGTTTTAAATCACTTCCTCCTTACGAACAAACTTTCAATCAGCTAATTCAAATTTCAATTAAAACTCAAACAAATAATTAAATGATACTGAAAATAAAATAAATTAAGTCTAGTAAGATCAATAGAAAGAAAGGTGAATATAATCGATGTTCAAGGACGGAATGACCCATATAAGATGTGTTGGAAGAAGTTGCGCAGGTCCGGAACGCCTGTATCGTCCAAGACTGAAAGAACTACAACAGTAGATGTCCGACTATCCTCCAACTATGAAAGGAGGCGGATTGTACCAGACTGCCTGAAGCCAAGAGATTCAAATGATTTCTGAAGCTGATTCGCCTTTAAAATTTCAGAAACTTGATTGATGTCAAGCTACGCATCGTTTCTAGCACACCATCTTCTCTACGAAAGCTGCAGTTTTCAACCAACATATCATAAAAAGGTTCATTTGAGAAAAAATTGAACAATTGTTAAAAAAATATTTTTTTCACTCTGCTCAGACGAATCAGTTGATATCATCATCTGTCATATAATTTTTGACCATATATGCAAATTCGTCGTAATCAATGACTCCATTTCCATCCACATCAGCCTGTAAATTCCATTGTGTTACATTTAAGGTTCAGTTTCAATTTACTTCGAGAAATATTTCTTCAATGATTTGACTGTCTGTTATGTCACCGAATTCGCGTAGAATGTACTGAAAATCCCGCTTCGAAATAGAACCAGATTCTGCCTGGAATGAAAAAATAAAAATATTGTGGGGATGCATAGAAATGGTTCAGAGAAAAATAGAAGTAGAACTTCGAAGTAGGTGTAAGAGCAAGAAGAAGCCCAACCTTGGGTGAATAGTCGACAACAACAATTTTCGAAAGTTGTAGAAATGTGTAAAACAAAAAACGTCGAAAAGGAAGTGGCGTAACAATGATCACGATAAATGTCATTCGCATAATCGAAAGAACTTTTGAAAACCATTTGTTACTGCGAAATGCCGAAGATGTTTGATCAAACTATATCATCTATTTGGATGATATGTTTTGCTTAATCGAAAAACTCATCTTAATTTGTTCCATTTTTTGGTCAAAATTGTAGGAAATTAAGTTTTTTACCGATTCTAACGGTGTCGTAATCATTGGCAATCAGAATGAACTTTATTCTAAATGACATGCGCCACGCTTCCGTGAGTTTACAACTTGCAACATCATGGTACATACTGATGGCAATACATACTTCAGCTTTTCTTCATTTTTAATGGGGCTTGTGTCAGTTTCAAATGAATGCTTTATCATAATTAAACTTGAGTTCTGAGGACCTTTGTTATTGAAAATTATTTAAAAGCAAAAATGAATGATAGAGAACTGAATTGAGTAATAAATAATTCTCATACTCATGTTATACATTTTAAATAAAGCTCTTGAGAGCAGAAGTAGACATACCCGATCGAAAACAGTAAAACACTCCTTGACAACTTCATTCCAACTTCTTTTTTTCATATATAAACGTCTCATAACTATGCAGAACTCATCAAAGTCTATTTGATGGTTTCCACGTTGATCTACCTGAAAAAGACACTTTCTTCTTTAAGAATGAAACCACAAAACGTTGAAATGGAAAGGTCAAAATGCCCACTTCATCAATAATTTTATCCAATTCATCTCTTGTTTGATCCAATCCCAAATTCCGAATAGCTGTTTCAAGCTCATCAAGTGCTATTGCCCCACTTCTATCTGTGAAACGTTATTAGTGAGGATGTGTGTCAAAACACTAGGTCTACCTGTATCAAACATATTGAAAACCTGTCGATACTCAGCTAACTCTTCCTCTGTATAAGTGTCCATGGTTTCTTTGAGCAGAAGCTCGGTCTGTCCATTGCTCGAGAAGCTCATATCATTGCGATCAGAGTGCAATTTGAGCTAAAAATAAATAAAAATGAGATTCGAGAGCACAAATAATAATTCGTTTAAAAAATGAATAGTTCTTTGCGTTTTTTACTTCGCTCATTTCAATTTAACTAAATTGGGGAGCACTTTTAGCAGACTTTATTAGGAAAGCACCTGCTCTGAAGGATGTGCTAGTAGCTGATGCGTGAAGACCCGTTTTTAAACTATTTACAGACTTTGTTAAAGGAAACTAAATTAAAGTAGCATTTTTTAAAACAATTTTCAAACTAGCAAATATCATCCAATTGTTCGTGTTGCTACAAACTTTTTTGTTCGTTAACAAGTCAAGATAGATTTCATGTTTAAGTTCAAACCTTTCGAAATGAGCCTTGGCTTAATAAGGCACGGGGAGAGTTGAAGCAACCGTTTGCCACCATTTTAGACGAACCAATTTTGAGTCTACGAAAAGACATTCTTTTTTCTCTTTGTTCAGTGTCAGTAGCGAATAGATTAATTAGTGAGACAATAACAAAGAATGGAAAAGACGAATATGGATCAAGTAACTTCAAAGGCTTTACTCCTTTTTTGAGCCACAATTCTGTTGGTAAAGTAGAAAAATACGAAAATACAATGGGTGGACCTAAAGCTCACTGACTATTCATCTCCTTTCTTTCTCTACTAGTTGCCGCTACATAATATTTTCTTTTTTGTCTTTGCAGCCACATACCTACAGCTTTGACATGTAAACTTCTCATTTACGAGCATTTCACGTGAACATGCATTTCACGTGAACGACTTTAATAATTCATTTAGTAATGCGAAAGAAACGAGAGCGGTTGCATATGATGGAACAATGAAGATGATGTGAAGGAATCTTTAATTTCTGTTTTCATTCAGTATTTAAAAGAAAAATATAACATCACATAATGGAAGTATATTGGCTTGATGGAAAAAAACAAAGGAGAGGGTGTCAAATCAGAGAAAATCAAAAACACAGAGTCTAAGCCGCGTGACACCACAACACCGTTGTCAAGGAGAATTTCCGAAAATGGACAAAGATAATCATTATATGAAATACAAGAGGGAATGAGACAACAAAAAGAAAGAGAGGGAGCTGTTCCATAGTAACGGCAAGCTAACCCACCCTTCCCAACGGTTTAGCTTGTTCACGCACTCACACTGCTCAAGACATAACGTATATTTTAGTTGAAATTTATATTCAGCCATTTTGTCCAAAAAAAATCATTCAAAAGCGAACGGAAATACAATTTTTTACTTCAAATTCTCTCGCATTTCATTTATTTTATGCAATATGGCAGATAGCCAGATCCTTAACCAGGAAGTATTAGAAATTCAACTAAAAGCTCACATGAACTCTTTGATTTTCTCTCTCTCTCTCTCTCTATCTCCCTTTTTACGTGTCTTTGAAGAATGTTTCAAGCAAAGTATTTATGTTATTATCATAAAGTATTGTTTAATTACAAACTCACCTTGATAGCTTCTATCATTGCGTTTCCTTTTCCAATAGGTTTATCGGAGCTTTTGTGGCGCATCAGGCGAGCTTGTCTGGCGGATAATGCCATTGATTCGACGAAGCTATAGATGAATATTTATTGGTCTGTAATAAGCTTCTTGTTATTTTAGCAGATTTCAGCTGATAGTGTAGTGTAAATACGAGAAAGAAGAAACAAGCTAATGAGATTCTTATATTCAAATGGAGGAAAGGATTCGATAGAAACAACATTCCAACAAAAAAAAACATTTACACCGTTTGAAGGTTTTCTCATCTTCATCGACTAATTCAAAAATTGAATTTTATGTCGAAAAGGTTTAGAGAAGATGAGATGTTCAAATTTTGGTACAAATCTGTCTAAATAAGGAAAGGGACATTGACATCCTTGTATCGAAACCCTTCAGGGAAATCTCTCGTTAATTCATCCTGGGAACCAAAGAATTATTGCCGAAAAGGAGTAAAAGGCACATAACTTTGCCACTTTTCCATATTACTCCCTTTAACTTTCATTGATTCAATGAAAATACAAATTACTGCCATTATAATCTTTTTCGATTTCTAAACTTCATGTTCGACAAGGTAGCAACGAGCAAACAGATAGCTTGACCACCATCCTTAGAATAATGATGACAAGAACGAAAAACAGATTTAAAATGTGGAAGTAAGAGAGAAAAGTTTGGTCGAAACCTTTTTTTCTATTGCCTTAAAGAGCTAAGAGATAGGAGAATGGACAAACTAGGGTTTGTGTGGCACAACAATCAATACTAGTACTTCTCTCCAACAATGAACAAAAGCCTTCTTAGCTAATAACTTTCAACCCTGGATTATTTTTATTTTGCATAAAAACATTTGTTTTTATCGCAAAAAAGGCATCTATACACAAAGCACATTATCAAAAGTTCAGTGAGAGAGAAAAACTCCGAAAAAACTTTTTTATCAATTTTCCCAACAATGACTACAACAATTCAAGAGAGACCAGACAGTGGGCAGCTCTGGGAGCAATATAGTTCTCAAGTTCTCTGTCATTTTTATCACAGAACACATCATTTCCAGACTAATTGTTACTAGACCATCATTATTCTACACGAGTATAATAGGTTTATTTTGCAAACGAATGCTCCTATCCGTTTGTTAGGTTTGTAATTCATGAAAAAGAAGAGGCGCATATGGCAGGTTTGATTGTTCGCAGCTTTTTCGAAATTTCGCGGTATTAACAAAACGCGTCGCTAATGAACTCATAAAGTTCAGTATGAACTTTCATAAGCACTCATTTATATTTTAGAGAAAGTCATCGACTTGAGAATGGTTCTGGTTATCCTTGTCATATCTCGTTCGCACTCACGCCCCACTATTAAGGTCTAATTTTGCCCAGAAATTACCTGTAGCCCTTATGAATCACTTTCTCTTTTTCTTATCTGAAATCTGAACAGAGTTCTGAACAAATTATGTGTCATAAAAAATTGCTTTGTATGCGTCAGCATTCATCAAGCATTTAAAGTTGTCTTTCTCCTCCTTGTGGCTGTCCATTTCTGAACTGCATGCTGTTTACCGCGTAAAAAGAATGCATGTAGTTGACATCAATTCAATTGAAGAGGAATTGCTCTATATCTCATGTTTCTATCAGTTTATCAGCTCTTTTTGAATAGAAGCCTTCTCTTTTTTTCATTTAAAGCGGTATTCAACTTTTTTCATTCGAAATTTGCAGCTACACGAGTATGTACATGTCTTTCTAGTTTGCTGTTATCGTTACGTTTTCTTTTTAAACTGTAATTCACACTTTCTGATACATAACTATCGATCTGTTCATTTCTTTGATAATTCTTAATCCTTTCGGTGTTTTTTTGTGGAACTTCATCATTTTTTGTAGAAGATGATGTCGTCAGAAGCAGATGGAACAAAATATTTGGGCGTTAGCCAGCCCGTGTCTGTAGCTCATCCCGACGAAAGGGAAATGAAAATGACAGAAGAAGTAAGGAAAAGCTCAATTTTTTGAATAAATCATCCTTTATTGCAGTTAATTGATTGTCTTCGAACTTATAATTTATTTGAAACAGATGAAGAGTTACAAGAACGTATCGAAGTTTTACGAAAAGTAAACTCGATGGTTAAGCAGTGGGTTAAAGAAATTTCGGTGAAAAAGGTTTTCCTCTGTTTTACTATAGGTTCTTAACATTTTTTCTTTACTCAGATGCCTTCTGAAAATTGTGATATTATGGGAGGAAAATTATTTACATTTGGGTCATACCGTTTAGGGGTTCACAATCGAGGTTTCCCTGTTTCCTTTTTTCTTTTTCAAATTTCCGTATTAGGTGCTGATATTGATTCTTTATGTGTTGCTCCGCGTCATGTAGATCGACATGATTTCTTCACATCTTTTTATGAACTGCTTCAAAACGTAAGTTTTTGCCTGTTTCGTACACCATATCAACAATATCCACATTAAGGATCCCGCTGTTACGGATCTTCATGCTGTAGAAGACGCTTTTGTTCCTGTTTTGAAACTCAGATATTCTAATATTGAGTTGGACGTACTGTTCTCTCGCTTAGCCCTCAAAGTAAATTTTGTTTCTTCGGTATACCTTTATTCTTTTTTCCTTTCAGTCTATTCCCGATGATCAAACGCTCTCAGATGATGCTTTGCTCAAGAACCTTGATGAAAAAAGTGTTCGCTCTCTCAACGGTTAGTTTATTCTACTTTCGCTATCATCGGCTTCATTTTACTTTCAAGGTTGTCGTGTTGCTGATGAAATTTTGAAGCTTGTTCCAAACCAAGAGTCTTTCGCCTTATTTCTTAGAGCCATCAAATTGTGGGCAAAAAATCATGGAGTTTACTCAAACGTGCTCGGTATGATTTATTTCGAAAGCTAGTATACACCTTTATTTTCAGGATTTCTCGGTGGAGTATCTTGGGCTATTCTTGTTGCGAGAACTTGTCAACTGTATCCAAATGCTTCTGCCGCTAAGCTAGTTTCTAAATTTTTCTTTGTTTTTAGCACATGGTAAGAATGATGAACGTCGTATATGGAAAAAAACCATCTTTTCAGGGATTGGCCTCACCCTGTAATCTTAAAAGATATGGATAATTCGTCACGACCTGATCTTCCGGGGTTAAAAGACCTTGTTTGGGATCCCAGAGTTAAAGCATCTGATAGGTTTTGATCTTTTTCAATCAATTTTTTAACCTGTTGTATGCAGATATCATTTAATGCCTATTATAACCCCCGCCTTCCCAGAACAAAATTCCACTTTTAACGTGACGCAGTCAACTCGAACAATACTTACAAACGAATTAAGAGAAGGTAACCTATTTGTATGTATCTCTAAAATTTACAAGCATCATCTTCAGGTTTGGAGATCACATTAGAAATTGCGGATAACAAATCGACATGGCAGAAGCTATTTGAAGAAGTAAATTTCTTCACTCGTTATAAGCATTTCATATGTGAGTTTATCTTTGTTTGTTCTTTTTACACTTTTTTCTTTAGCTCTTCTATGTGCTGCTAAAACCGAGGAAGATCACTTAGTTTTCAATGGTTTTGTAGAATCCAAGATTCGTCATCTAATCGGATATTTGGAGAGAAAGGGAGAGATAACGCTAGCACACATCAATCCCAGACAATATAAGCCAAAAGCTTCTGCACAGTTTCAACTTCCTTATGAGTGAGTGAATAATTCCAGCTCTCGTTTCCTAATTATTAATTCTGTAGAAACCCTGTATGCACGTTATGGTTTATCGGCTTAGATATTGATAAGCAGATGGTCAAGAACGTTGATTTAACACCAGAAATTCAAGCTTTTCATATGCATGTCGAGCAAATGAAAAATAATATTACCAATCGGTCTCGTTATAATGCAGATATGAGGGTAATTTATTTGAATCGCATTTTATCATACAATGATCATGTTTTAGATTGAATTGAAATATGTTCATCAGAAAGATATTAAGCACTATGTCACCAAAGAAGATATGTTGCGTGGACGTCCCTACAAAGCTAGAAAAGCAACACTTCAGAGGAATCTTTCCGAAGCCGGTGTTAAAAATGTTTTGGTACGTTCGTTTATTTTAGTTTGACGTTATTCTAATTTCACGTGTTTCACGTGCTTGCATCTGTTCATTTTTCATTTTAAAAGATCGGAAGCGGTTGCCTATTTATGTGTTTGCTCCCGATTAATTCTTTAACTTACAGAATTCATCTGATTCGAATTCCAATTTGGAGAGCATTGTATCAGCTGCAGAGAGAGAAAACACTAAAGTAGCTGTTGACGATGAATCGTGCAAAACTGATGAGGTAGTCTTATTAGCCTGACTGATTTATGCTTTATTTTTAAGATGCCTGTAACTGATGCCGAGAATGAAAAAGTGTCCAATGAACAGATTAATCCCGACAATTCCAAGTAAGGCCCTTATCCAATTATTGACCGCATTATTTTATTTTTAGAGCTTCCTCAGAAGAGAATATTATAGCGCGAACGGATGGAAACCAGTCAGGTATTTCGTTAATTCTTGAAATTTGAAATATGAAACTTTCTCTAGACACCAGGACAGATATACCGGACGAGAATTCGCGTAAGCGTGCTCTCGAAGAAGAATCTAACATCCAAGCCACTATTGTGCCAACAAAAAAACTTTTCACCCAACAGATTCCAATTGGAATCGGAGATGGCAATCGTTAGTTTGTAAATGGAAATCGGAGAAAAATATGATTCTTACTTGCAGGTTCTTAGATATGTTATGTTCCTTGAGGCACTATCTGTGTTAATGCGTTCTGAGTTTCGGACTTTTCCAATCTGTTCCTTGTCCAAACTTTTTTCTTAATTTTTAGCTTAATAATACTGGGTCTATGCATTAGTTCACTGCCCCAAGTCTAACTGGAACATTTCCTACCCTTGCTAATTTTTAAAATTTTATTCGAAAAGTTAAAAACCTTTCGATATGTTTAGAAAGCTGAGATTGATATCCTCTTTCTTCCTTCTGTTCCCTCTGAAGTTTACAAAAGGGATGGATGGTCACGTTATTCTCCACCATCTTCACAAGGGTTAGCTTGGGACGACGAACTTCTGCCTAGGCTTAATGTGTTGGACTTAATAATGTTTTGTAGCGTTTACGTGTCATCTGTTTTCTTCATTTATCTCATCTCATTACTTATTTTGTTATAAGAAAACAGATGATTGTGACCGCTTAATTTAATCTAGTTTTTACGAAGACTATGGGTAGCCAGCATCGTTTTTATCTTTCTGTAAGTTAGGTTTCCGTTCTCCATTATAGGTTTCACTGTATGTATAATACGTTCAGCTTAAAGCTCTGTTATCTTATTGTATCCAACAACATGTATGTTCACTATGTGACTGGCATTCTGGGATTTGTTACCATATATTCATATTATGCGTTGGCCTATGCTCTTTTGTTTGGCTTCAGAGAGCCATACACTAATGTACACAATTACTCCGGTTGATCCTGCAAGTAATTGTAGAAAACTCAAAAAAATTATTCAGCGTTCCTCTATCTCTCTCTCTTTCTTTCTCAGACAGATTAACTATTATTGTATCATAATAATTGTATTAGAAATATGCCCTTTTCATCTTTTACGGTTCCACCCCTCATTGTGGTTTTACAGCACGGAATTTAAATTTATACATGTCGTGCGCTGCTGCATTTTCATATGATCTTCATGTATTAGTAATATTCACTAACAATAAAAACTGTCGTTATTCTGCTATTTCAGAGAATGTCCACCTGAATCGCGGGGCAGTTCTTATTGTGCTTGTTGAGTTTAATAAATAAATGGCCCAAGTTTTGCCTGTTTTGTTAAATAATGGGAAGCTCATGGAGCCGGTGATTTTCGATCAGAAGTGGGTGTTCAGTCACCCATGTGCCTTGTTATTTCCTGTTGTCAGTTCTTATCACACGTGCAAGTTGTATTCCGTGTTACATGAGAATTCTTCGAATGTTTCTGTTCGAAGTTCGGTTATTACGATAAACAATTGTCACACATACATACAATGAATACCTCCTTTCGGTTTTCTTTTTGCAGCAAAAAATATAGGCAAACGCTCGCCTTCCTAAAACATCAATCTTGGGGTACATCTGGCTAAACTGTCCGTTGTTTATTTTTGTCACTCCCTCACTTAGTCATTATTTGAACTACACCCTCGTTCACAATGATTCAATCTTCATATTTTATGGTATTTCATTGCTTGGAGAATTCTCCATTTTCTTTAATAGACTCACAAAACCTCTGAAATGCCCATCAAATTGTAAAATTGATTGAAACAATCCGTAAAATTCCTTATAAAGTTCTTTTCTATTCTTTTTCTACAATCAGTGAACTTGAAATTATTGTCCGATCGGCACTTTAATTAAGTTTGTAACATCAATTTCAATCTGAACTATCATTCGCCATTTCTCATTCCGGCTTCTAACGTTGGCATAGCTCGATTGCCAAAAATTTGGCGCGAATAATGCTGTTTCAAATGTGCGTCGGCTGACCGGACAGAGGACTGTCCAGCCTGTCTGAACCTCGATTTGTGAAAGAAATGCTATTGATCCGTGGCGATTATGATGCTACTTTCGCGGCTGTACCTTTCCATTCCCATAGAAAGAACTTACCTTCGTGTAGTTCGGGAGGAGAAAACGGTCAGAAAGTTGTCCTCATTTCGGATTTGAAACTGAATAAGTCTACGAGCGTGTGCCTTTGCTTCGTGTTTATGTTTTTGTTCTGAATTAATTATGTGCACACATGGTCTTCGGATTCATGTATACACTCAATAAAAATAGATAAGACTTTATTTTATTGATTATTCCTATTTTAGTTGCCCTTCACATTCTGTTTTCATTGCTTGAGAGTCTGTAACCGTCTCAAAGGTTTGAATTCTATTGTCTTTTATCTCTTTTCAACTACCCCCTACTATGCAACAATCGTACTCCTGTTATAAGCCTTTCTTTATTTTTCTCGTTTCCGAACTTACTTTCTAGGCTTTTCATATTTTGAGAGTTGTAGCTGGCGTATACCTGATGAAACAGATGATAGGTGCTGATATCGATTTCATGTATATTTTCGCTGATCATCACACACATTTTTTCCTACTTCCTAGAGCTGGAATGAGGAACAAGTGAGGGAGAGAGAGAGGGAGATGATGTTTTCGAGTGAAATGTTTTTATCTATTGCTTCTGAGTTTTATTTTTTCAATTCTCTTATTAACAATATTATTATGCTTATAATGCCTAGTTGGTTGGACGTGTTTCAAATGTCATTCACAAGTTCCTTGAAAGCAAATCACAAAACCTTCCAGCAAATCCTTTCTGTCTGTAATTCATTCGTTGAAATATCAACTTGTGTGTTTTGTCTTTATTGTCAGTTTTTGCTGTCGCGGTATTTGCTCGTACCTCGAATTATGACTAAAATTGCGCGGACTTAGTAGGCTCCATATAACCTTGTCCATAACTGGATTGTCTGTTCCTTATATGCAGTTAGGAATACTTCCTACCGTTTGCATATTGGGTTTTCCTATCCATCCTAATTTATAAACCTGAAAGATAATCTTTTATCGTCTATTTTGCATTGAGCCAGCTATAGATCGTGTTTGGTAATGCCAAGATCATCTGTCAGATCAAATGGCAGGCATCTATTCAACCTAGAGATCATGACGATTTGTTTTTTTACAAATCATTTTTCTCAGAGATTAAAAAACTCCGAGCACTTAATGGATGAAGACTCGAGAGATTCCATGAAATATCATCCTTCTCAGATTTGTTGTGGTACGTTAAACCTAAAAATTTTTTTTCTGCATCATAGCTTTTATTAAATTTCGTGAAGACATCGCCCACATTGAGCTGTTGTTCAAAGAGAATTTGTTTTCCTCTCATATTTTGAGAAGCAAGAATGTTTTTATCATCATTATGAATTCCCTTAACAGAGGAACACCATGGTCTGCATGTTTCTCACCTCGTATAGTAGTAATCGGAAAGTGCCATAGTATAAGTAGTAGTGTGAAAGTCGTTTTTTGACCTTTCTCTTTTCAAAATTACAACTTGTGCAGTATTAATCCCATGTGTCTCGACCATGAGATCCTTGCAGTTACTCTGTAAGAAATGAACCGGAACTGATATGTGCCGGAGCAACTAGTATTGCTGCGAGACAAGCGTTTCGAAGCCAATCGATCATTTCGTAGGGAGTGTTAATTAATCTCTTTCCATCTGCTAACACATTCCCGAGCAGCAGGTAATCAAAAAACTCTTCCAACATCGATGCTTTAAAACGGTTGCCAAATACTCTCCTCCTCTTCTGACAAAACTTTTTTCTCAAAACCTTTTTCCAAATTTTGAGTGACATCATCTATTGTCGTTCAAATGCTGGATGTCGTGCCTTAGTTTAATGTGACAAATGCTTTTTTGACTCTTTGTTAACTTCCGGCTATTTTTTGACCAAAAATACCAGGAACTCAGGTTTGCGCGAATTCCGTCAACTCTCTGAACCGAGCAAATAAAGCGCCAATGAACACCGGCGATTCTAATTTAAAATTATAAAGGTCGTTAGCCAGATTTTGTGGTTGTTGTCGTCAATGAACATTTTTTTTTATCTTTCATGTCAGCTGTCCAGGCTATTTTCTTATTTTTTAAATTGCAGATCTGTGACCTAAAACTCTTGTATTCATCTCATAGACGAATAGCTTATAGTAATGCTTTTTTAGACATGGTAGGTTTGTTTTATTTTTATAAGTTTTCAATTGTTCATCAGAGCTGCATTCAGCCAGGATTTCCTGTGATAGTTGGACACAATGTGGGCAAGCCGCCTGGTAATCAGGCCGGGGCCCATGGAAGTATTCATAAACTTGGACATGTGAGTTGCTTATCTTCATTAAGATTGTTCATGCTCTTTGTTCTAAGGTACGTTCAGTAAACCTGGAAGTTGAAATTTCCATTGACGCCGTAAACTCTGGCGAGTCTGTGGGAGGCATAACAAAAATTCAACTGAAAGATGTCCCGATGTTTGTTCAAAGCTTATTAGCTAGTCTTATCTTTACGGCTTTTCCAGATTCTTAATTAACGCTTTTAAAATTATCAGCCAGTCTTCTAGTCTTAATATGGAAGGACTCTTCCGAAAAGAGGGAAACGCAACTAGGATTAACAGAAATAATTTTGTAATTAATTGGGTTTATGGCGAAGTTATCTTTACCTTGCTTTCAGGCTTTATATGTGGGTGAGATCGATTTCGCTTCTCATCCTGAACGCTTTACTGTTCATGACATTTGCTCAATGGTTAAACGGTTTTTCCGGGATCTCAAAATGCCTTTAATATATGGTCTCCCTCTGAAGAAGAAACTTTTCAACCTAGTTCAGAAAAGTAATACTGAAGATGTAAGCCTCACTTGTTGTTTCTCTACATTTTCTACAACAAAACAGGTCACAAGAATTGATATAACTTCCTTATTTGATGCCAAACGTGATGAAAATGGTAAACTTGTTGCTCCTCTGGAACAAGCCCATCTTGGAACCTTAGGATTTCTGATGCGACAACTACACTATGTAATATTCTGTTTCTCTGATGTTTCCAATGTTTTCGTTTTCGATTGCTCAACATTCTTCGCAGCATCAGATGACTGCCGAAAATCTGGCAACTATTTTTGCTCCGTCATTGTTTAGAGACGAAGCTCCTCGTAAGAAACCTAAAGATGGTAGACGCGGCTCACACGTAAGTTGCTCTTCCCGAGAAGAAATATCAGTATTGATCAGTATTTAAAGGAGGATTTGCTGAATAGTGCAAGATCTGAAACTGATTTACGTATTTCTGCTGTCCGAATATTAATAGAGCGAGCCAATTGGATTGGCCTACCTACGAATTTCTACTTAACAAGTGGGAAACAGAGAAGTGCTTCCTTAGCTCCAACATCACCAAGGTTTCGGTTCTAAATACATATCCGCAATTATTCGTGAATTTGAAGATATCCATTAGTTCATGACATGGTCAACGTAACAAAGGATAATATGAAAATTACATCCAAGCGTCAATCTATGAAACTCCCGAGGTCCAAAGAAGATAACGGGAATAGTGTGAAAGCCAATGAACGACGATCTTCTTCAACTCTGAGAGAACTTTTCTCCTTCAATCGACTACGAAGGAGGAGTAATAGTCGAGAGCGCGTACCCGATAGACGAAGAACAGTGAGATGATCATGGTTCCGACTTGAATTTCGCTGTTGTTTTAGGTGGAAGTTAAAAGTACAATTTATCCTCCTCTTCCTCAGCCTAAACAACATTCCAAGCCTCCTTCTCCTGCTCAGAAGTTTACGTTGGAAATCGAAGATGATAATACACCAATCGTTGTGAGTTTCCGTATCACAGAGTTTGTATCTTCGAGCTTTCTTAGAAACCCTCTTCTCAAAATAATACATCATCCTCTCGTCTTTCTCGAAGCCAGCAACAGAGAAGAGGCCGACAACCTACGCCCGGGCCAGCAGATAAGGTAAGAGATGAGTCTGAATACACAATGCATTATTACTTATTGAGACTAATGATTTGGATACTACCCCTATAAGAGGATCAAGGATGAAGAAGACAGGATCAATACAATCTACTTCTTCTTCTGATGTGATTGGTGAAGCAAAAATGAAATCAGTAAGTTGACTCTAATCAAATTGTAAACGCTCCATTGTTCTAGACGGTATCAAGAGATCATCCGGATTCCATGTTTGGGGAAGATGCGTTTAACGCAGATTTGAGGAAAGAAAGGCAAATGCACCGGAGGAGAAGACACACTACTCCTGTTAAGACCAATGCCTTGAGGTGAGCACTCTTCCGAAATTAGTGTTAATCTCCAATTCATTCTCAGGAGAAATCAGCCAAACTCTCATCATTCCGGTTTGAGGTTGCCTAAACGGCGAGTCACATTAACAGCCCGAGAAGATCATGAAAAAGAGGTGTTCAATGGACAGTTTTCATCGTCTTAATGCAAAATTCTTTAGAATGACCCGAAACGGAGAAGTCTCTCCGCCGATAGAAGTTACACCCAGAGTATTGAGGATAATGACTATTGTAATGATACTCTGAATTCTACCACCGACATCTTGGAACAGGTTTTTGAGTGAATACAGTTTTCCATTTATTTCGAATAATAGAGAGGGTATGAGTCTCGATTAAGAAGGCAAAAAATGACACGACGGAAAGAGTTAGCCTCCTCTGGAAAGCTCGTCGATGCTGCAACTTCCCCAATGGTAGTTATTGCAAATGAAAATGTACTTTTCATTTCGAAGGAACGTGATCGACATTTCAATATTTTCAGACGGCTACTCCTTTAAGGAAAGCAGGGTCTGCTACCGTTGGAGAAAAAGTTGTGGTGTCTACTCATAACGATGTAACTCCTCAACAAATTCTCGAACAACTGTATAGCCCTCACAGTGTAGATATCAGTTCGGATTTATCCACCAGAAGAGCTTCGAAGTTGTTTCTTCCAGTTGTGTAGAAGTTTAAGTTTTCCTTTTTCAGAACACCAACTTGTTCCCCAGCTCAATCAAATAGCTGCATCTCGCCTACAGTATCCTTTGGTTTGTACTCAACTTGTTGCTTCTAACTTGGTGGTTTTTAGTTGTTCGTAGCCCTAAGCGAGGCCAGATAGGTTCCCCTGATCCGCCTCCATTACCAGGCGCTCCTCCACCACCCAACACTATTGGTTTCCGTCCTCCACTTGTAGCTCAGCACTCGTTAGATGCCCAAATGAGCCGTGTTCCAGTAAGACAACCAGTCATTAAAGTGAATTACTTTATCCATAGGCACAAATCTTAAAAGCACCTCTCCAGAAAATGATCTCGGCTGATCGCAAAGAGAAGCCTATAATTATGCCTAAACCAGCATCACTTACAAAGGTGTTTTCACTATCATTAATTTTGTTTAATCAGTTGTTAAAGAACTCCCCTCTCCAACGGCGCGGAATGTCGTTATCATGCATCGGTCATACAGGTTCACCTCTTCATTCAGTAGGAGATGATGACTTTGCTGATTCTGATGCGATTCGACAAAAAATACTGTCTTCAACAACTGGAGATTGGGTATACTCACGGAAGATCTCTGAACATTTCTTATGAAATTTTTGTTCTAGAACTTGGGCTCTAGAAAAGCTTTAGACCAGAGACCGTCTGTTGCATTCATCCGAAATAATAATTGTGGAATGGTTAGAGAACGGGTTAATTTATTCAGTCAAATGAATGTAATGGAGACAATCAGTGGACGGGTCAGTTGTGATAAAAAGAAATTAAATATGAGATTTCTTTTATAGTCATCCGCTATGTCAAACCGAACCTCCCTAGGAGGAAACTCAACCATGAGCGATCATGACGATATAAAACCATCTGCGCCTCCAGTTGGCCATGTCATATCTATGGGTCGAAGGTACTATTTTTCCTTATATCAGTTTCATTGTTCAACCCGTTCATACTTTCAGATCCACGTCCTCGGTGCTGTCAAATGCATTCATTTCTCCCAGTGCTTCTCCTCGCCCAACCTAAGCCATTCTATGTAGATAGATCTAATTCGTTATTTATATGTCGAGGATATTCATCCCGGTGTCATACGTCTGAGATTAACCCCATCCACCTTATTATAATGTTAGTTCTCTTTCGGGTTTTAGGCACGCTTTTGATTCACAGTCCATGAGTTGTATTTTTTTTATAAATAAGCCATTTCCCAACTTCATCTCAAATAGGAATTGTGCATCCATTGTACAATTCTTCTTATTATATAATATCTAAACCGTAATCGTACTTCATGACGAGTATATTGGTTATTTTCACTTAAACGACGCTAATTGTTGAGTGCACCACATTTGGTGCCGTTTTCCCACTCAGTTGTTGCTAATTATGTACTGCCTCCAAAAGTGAGCGATATTTCTTTGTTCAAGCTTTTTATCAACGGTCATAAATAAAACATAATATTATTGAATTTTTTTCACCTGCCATTACGCTCGGTATTGAGTGAAGCCTCAGACTGCTGTCGCTGCTGGATAGATTTCTTTCGCTGTTAACACTCTCATCGTACCTAACTATATTTCTGTTGTGGCGAATAATGACTTTGTATGCTGGAGGAGGAGGCCGTACGCTTTGCCATCTCGTTGTCATAGAAACGTAAATGGGGAGAAGCTTTACCAGGAAACTTCTGAAGTTCCTATTGATTATTTCACTTTCTCAAAAAAAGGCACTTCTCTCTCATAACATCTCACATGCATCGTTTATCTTTGAAGAAAGATCCTAATAAGGAAGTTATGAATAAACTTCATGATTTTTTATCTTCTTCAATATGGGCTCTGCCCATAGCCACATTTATTGAACAAAAGTCTATAGGTAACAGCTTTTCTTCTGATCTAAAAATATTTTTTTATTTTTCAGTTTTTGATCGCAGTCATGGTGATGCAGCCTTCAATGAATATCGTTTGGTTCACACACTATATAGAGAGTTGGTTAACACACTTCTGGAATGTTTTTGTGGAGACAGTAATATTCCATTAGAAAAGCTCCAGGAAGCTCTGCTGGGTTGTCAGAAAGACAAGATGACTGTCAAACAACGGGTTAGTCAGACTAATTTGCCTACGTATACGTGTACATGGAAGCATTAACGCTTCTTCATTTTCTCATTTATTTCGCAGTGATCGGTTGCATTGCTATCAATGATCAATACAACGAGTAAAGTCTGTTTTCAGACTAATCTGGAACCATTAGCAGCCGCCAGTGACTTTGACGTTTTCGTTCCTATGATGATGAGGAAGAACGTAGAACTTCAATTGCAAGCTTTGCAAATGATTGAGGTGTGATGAGTTTGATATTCTAAAGAGAGAACTTAATTACAGTTTTTGTGCGGCCTAATCCCAACTGTCTTACAAATCGAAGAAGGGGAAACTTTAAAAGACAAGAAAGTCCTGTCTCCTGAGGAAACAGAAAGATATGTGTTGATTTCAGTGATGAGGTTTGTGAAAATTTCCGAGTTTCTGTCATAGCTATCCTCTTAAGGCAAAGTAAAGAAGAATTTGACAAGCAGTATGGAAAGGAGCTTCGCGAAGATCTGGAAAGAGTAGCTAGAGATGGCGAAGAACAGAGGCTTCGTTTGACTCAGGAGAAAGAGAAAGAAGAGCTTCTAGTGGAAAAAGCCATGGCTGAAAACCAAGTTGCGATAGTGAGTTCACGTATGGATGTCTGTATAATACATTTTATCGTTCTTTGGATTCCCCATGAAATGAATAAAATAGCTGAGCGTAAAATGGCTATGGCTTCTGATCCATCAAATGCTTCTCGACGCTCATCAAAAAGTGTCGAAAGACCATTAACCACTAATTCCCGAAAATCAAGTGCTCCAAGCCGTTCTCGGAAGTATTACTATGAAATCTATCTCTCAAATAATGTAGACAATTAAGACCTGAACCAGAAAAAACTAGCGTTGAACGACCTGAATCAGTTTCAAGAAAAACTTCAAGGGAAACACCTAAAAGCCTCAAAGACATTCGCCGGGTAAGATATAGTCCATCCATTTGTCTAAACCGAGTTGTAGCCATCTTTACCTGCTAGACCACGAACAAACAATCAAAAATCCGAAGAGGGAGATGGACCAGAATTCGGTCCGCGTCGAAGGAATGTGAACGACGTTCATGTACAGTTGCTTTTTACTCGAAATGATTTGCATCCAAAGACCATATTGTAGGCAAAGCTACAAGAAAGCGAACGGTTGAACACAGCAGACGTAGAAGGGAGGCGACAATATCTTCAACAACAACGAGACAAACTTCTGACGTTGAAGAATGCGGAACGCCAGAAACAGATTGAGGTATATTAACCCTTCGAATTGTTTAACAACAAAAATGCTTTGCTCTCTAGGTAGTATCTGCGAAAGTTCAACAAGAAAGACCTCGAACAGCCAAAGCAGCACGTGGGGCAATGAGAGGAAATCAAAACAATGATGAGGTGCTAGCGCAAAGAAGAGCTTTGGCTAGCAAATTGAAAGCTGAGATTGCTGAGATTTGATGCTTAGAAAGATTTTATTAATACTTAAGTGAAGAGTATAATAATATAAATTGTGGATTTTAGAATTTACTTCTATTGAATATTGAACAAGAAAACTTAATTCATTCCGTCGCTGTGGTCGTAAAGAAATGCTTAAGAAGAAACAAACTCAAACGGGTTAACAAATGTGGGAACTCTCTCCTTAGAAGATTTCGAAAAACTGAAGAATTTTCAGTCAGAAAGGAGGGAGAAAAGGGATTTTCTGGAGCTCCTATATTTCAAGGTTCAGTAAGTAAGACAAGTCATGCAAGAAAACCTTGTTACTGATAATATCTTATTTATCAGTAGAATGAAATTACATGAACAACCGTCAAATATTATAAAGAATGATTTGGAAAATCTGAGATTTAAGACGAAGGAAGCTGATCTATAGGAGTTACAAATTGGAAGTCTTCAGGGAAGAGCTCTCCAGCTCTAGGGTAGAAAAGTTTATAAGTTTGTTTTACGGTCACTTCAGCTGCTCCAGCAATGTCACCGATTTCTGAAGTTGAAACTGTTATGTAACAAGGAATTTGATATAAACCATACCTTTGGCAGTTTTCTTCTCAGCAGAAGCTTGAGAAGCCATGTATATAGCTGCTGCAGCAATCGAAATAGGAGATCGCCTTAAATGCCATTCGACTCTTTATGTTTTAATTATAAAAAGTATTACCCAGCAACCAAATCCATATCCACAGCTCTTTTAGCAATTCGTGTGGCACACACCTGGAAATGATTCAAATATAAAAGGTTAAAATAGAGTTTCATACCTTGACGGAGTTGGACAGGTTAAGCCTGGCACAGAAGCGAGACATGAAGTCGGCAGAAGTAATTTGCTTGAGATTTGTCTCCATACTTTTGATAATTAATTTAAAACATCTACCAATTTCTTTCTTAGAAACACGAGAAGCAGCGCAAATTTCTTGAAAGAAAAAAGTACTTTGAACAGCTTTATATATGAGCAAACCTTTAAATGTACGGGGTACGTCATCTTTACGACAGGCTATATACAAGCAAGCGGCAGCTTGTGCTTCATTATTTTTTCCTTTGAGTGCTTTACCATCCAAGACCTCTTTGAACAGTTTAGCAGCCATATCCTATAAGAATCCCCAACTTGTTACACCAAATTAAGATATTTACCTGTATATTCTTGGTTAAATGTATTCTTTCAGACATTTCGCGAATTACACTCATAGCTTGGTTCATTTGGCGATCAGTGTTGTTCATACTCTTTCTCTGCGAGTTCGCCAAACTTAAAATACAAAACTATGTGAGAAAAAGAAGTTCAATGTACCTGTTATCACTATCGGAACTTCCGAAACCAATCGCAATACTCGTAGACAAATCACTTCCCGATAAAAGAGGATTTTCGGGAGCTCCAACACGTGATGGGTCAGTTCCACTTCGTTCATTAGAAAATGATCTCCATTCTGTTCCGACATCTACTAATCTTCAAGAAATAAATTCAGCTCAAGCAGCAGCTATTAACAAACTAACCTATCTCCTACAACTAAACCACATTCTGGACAAATAATGTCTCCAGCTCTATGATCTTCTACTAAATGTGTTCCCGGATGAATAGGACACTGAAGCGCCATATTACCTATAACACACATTCATGAAGCTTAACAAAAAATGCATAAAGAAAAAACCTCGTGAAAATAAGAAAAAAACAAAGCAAACGAAACAAGAACTCAAAAAATATCACATGAAGCAGATACGGAATTATGCTCCACACAAGAGTCAACTATTGGCGCATTCTTGGTGTCACGAAACATGCATCACCCACAAGCTGTTTATTATTGCTCATGTTTGCTGAACATCACATGGTAAAACGTTTTATTCCAATGATAAAAATACTACAGCTGTCTTGTCTTTTCTCACTTTGTTTTCATCGGTTGTTTCTTCAATAACCATATCTGCTAATTGATTCTCCGATCATTTGAGTTCCGCGAACTACCACAGAGCGGTTGCATTTGAATTGCGGTCCGTCAAACCGCTGTGATGTTTATAGAAATTTGTCAAAATATGACGAATCATTTAACTTTTTGAAAACCCTTGCATTTTTAGTTGTTAATTCTAACATTGACGAACGAAGGAAACACTTTAGAAAAAAAACTTTAGTTAGAAAGCTGTGAACATGTAAAACAGGTTAAAATTTGGTCGAAAACGGAACGTATATATATAAATCAATCAAGTTGAATACTTAATTGAAAATATGTACAAATAAATACTATTCATACTATTTCACAGAACCCGTCTAGCACTTGGTAAGAAGTTTGGTAGCTTCGTCGAGAAGAGCAATCTCAGCATCATCTGTTGCTTTGAGCTCTTTAGCCAACAGCAGGTATTTCTTAGCATTAGCCTGTAATGGGGTACAATTCGAATGACCTTTGCATTATAACTCTCACCTTTTCTTGTTTCTGCATATAGCAGCGAGCAATGTAAACGAGATTTTCAATCCAGTCTGATTTCTGCTCATAGGCATCAAGGAAATCTTTAAGAGCCTCGTCATAAGTGGCAGTTGGTGGAGTTCCGTATAAAACAGAAGCAGCCTACAAAGGATACAAAGATACATCATGTGGTCCTGTCCCAAACCTTTCTTTCAAGCCATGTAAGAGAAGCTACAGAGAAAGAGTAACGTCCTCTCATATGAAGAAGTGAGTACTCCTTAGGATCCATAGTCAGAGCTTTATCCAAATATTCCTACAACCCAGGAGTTTGATAAGAGCTACCTTTGTACAAAGAACCTTGAACTTTCCTCCTTGCTCTATCTTTTCTTTCGTTCCCAAAAAGTCAGTACATTGGCCAGTCATGACAGCAGCCCATTTAACGGCTAAGAAGTTGTTCTCATCGGCAGTCATAGCATCAACTCCATATTGTCTTCCTAAAGGCATGAATTATCAATGTAGGAAAAAGCTGTAAACCTTCAAAAAGGAGATCCTTCTTCTTATTCTTATCATTAGTTCTGCAGGCTACCTCGTGGCACGATTTAGCCAATCGCCAGAGAAGTTCGGCATTTCCTTTATCACCACCATCATAATGCTGTATATAGAGGGGAGACTAAAGAGGGAGACCACAAACTTTATATTTTTTGTTGAATTAGCCAAGCGTTTGGTAGTATTTGAAAATATAAAATAAAAATTACCTTCTTGAGGTTATCATAGGCCTTGGCAACATCATCTGTTCCAAAGAGAAGATCTACATCAGCGAAAGACTGAAATGGGAAGAAATACAATCTTTAACGGAGTTTTGTGTTAATTTGAATGCACTTTGCAAGCCACAAACTAACCATTTCTGAAAGATTTTTCGGAAGACTAGGACGTTCCTGCAGAAAAAGAAAAATGAAATATACGAATTGAAGGCAGAAAAGAAAATTGCAAATAGAAAAGAGTGTTATCAGCACCCTCAAGAGATCAGACACATGGCTAACATCAATAATAGATTGAAAACAGGGAGAGAAAACAGTGGAGTTATCAAACGTAGAATGACTATACTCAGTAGTGGATCTGATAAGTAAAGTCATGGCGCCAAAAACGTTTGAACCGAATTTTGGGGCGTTCAAAATACACGTGAATCACGTGTAACATGAATGACATCAGATGATTTTTGAACTTTGCGGAACAGATTGTCAAAAGCATGCGAGACCACCAGAAAAGCGCCAGAATTTGAGCGGCTAATTTCGAATGATTGCGGCAGTTATGATATATAGTAAAGCAACAAAAAAGTAAAATAATGCCACGTGCTAATGAATTACGACACAAAATGACTGTCAACCTTTTCATTGTTAGATTAAAGTCAACATTAGGAAGCACAGGACAGGAAGAGCAGGCATATAATCGATTAGTCACTCGTCAATAGCGGCAAGAAGGAATGAGAGGGGTGTAAGCGAGGGAGGAGGGAGAGATAGAGGAAAGAAGATAGAAACGTTCAATGCACGGAGAGTTCAGAGTATACATTTCTTTAAAATTTTTTTGAATACCAAATGTGGTTTTTGATTTACAAAGGCGTACTTACTATTTTAGGAATTGTAATTGATCGTCGAGAGGGGTCGTATAAACATGGAACAGTGATTGTATCGTTATCCCTGAAAACAAGAAGAACTTGCGGTTAGAATGTGTCATCGTCTACCATTCTTCACATGCATCTGCATATTCACCATCAGAAGATATGGATTGTGTACTTTTGACTCTGTTCATAGTTGAAAGCACATCGTCTGAAAGATCCACATAGTTTTAATAGAAAACAACACTAACCAATACCAGAACACTCAGCTTCGAAAGTAACGGAACGCTGTCTCACTTTGGTTGGACTTCTAACTTTACCAGTCGAATATTCAATACGTTGAACATCTATTCGTAGAAGTTCTACTTCAACTCTGCGGAAGAAAAAAGTTTAGAGTAAAAGTCAACAGATAGTCTACCTCAGCTTCGATAATTCGTGCATAATCAGTTCTCTCTCGAAACAGCTTTGTCTGGAGTATCGCACATATAGCCAAACTCCTATTCCTGTAAGCTTAATAGTGACTAATAATAATTAGAGCTTAATCACCTGTCGCAGAAACAGCAACAACTCCCACTACGCTCAGAATACGATTATTGACCTCGATAAGCATCTTCGCAGCTTAATATCAAGCATACCAGACTTGCCTGAAGGCTTGTGTAAGCTCAACCGGTTTTTGCTAGACTTTACACTTAAAAGAATAATAAGAAACACGTCATCATGATTATTTCAATGAGAAATTAAAGCATATCATTGATGAAAAAATCCAACAGGAATAAAAGCCAACTGGAATTAAAGAAAAAACGTTTTCTATCATATTTAACCAGTAACACAACAATAACATCAAGCAGATATTAAACAAAGATTAAGAACTTTCTTCTAATTTTGTTCGCTTAGGATCTGTACCATTTTCAGAGTCATTCTGAAAACACATTTAATGAATAAGTATGAGAAAACAGAAAAAAATTGCAACCGTTCTGAGCTTCGTACATTGGGAGCTAATCCCACATATCATCATTTAGAGTAATAAAAACATTAAAACATACACCTTTATTCTCAAACTGCAGAGCTTTTCTTGCCATCTCTATGACTCCTTCTCTCGTTTTATTTCCTCCGATGAACCCTGAAAGAGAAATTGTAATAATAGTCTACCATGATATCAACCTGATGTGTGCACGAAAACACCTCCTGGAATTCCGCTGACTTCTGAGAGAGTATCATCTCTTAGAGAACGCCAAGGTTGTGGAAGTGGAAGCCTGATGACAAATATTATAAGTTAGACTAAGTAATGAGTGATAATTAACCTATTTTCGAAAGTAGAAAGGCTATTTACGGGAATAGCTTGAATTCTCCATTGTTTCGCTGTTGTATCTAAATACATACAAGTGAGCTTGAAGTGAGAATAGACAAACCTTGGAAGAGTATATAAGTTATATTTTGGTTCAGCAATCCCTGCTCACTCTCAATTGTAAAGAAATGCTCTTTCCATGGCGTACTGCCATTGTCTAAGCACAGAATTCTTCCACTAACATCAATCTAAATAGGATAAGTAAAAAAAGTGTCGTATTATATAAAAACCTCGAATCTTTTTTTGACCGCTTCCTCGACCAACTCGCGAGCAGGCCACCATACATTATGAAGATAAGAGATAGTATCAAGCAGTTCATCTTGAACCATTATCATAGTTTATTAATATGATATATATCTAGACTCACTCCCAACACAGTCCATTGCTTTCACGAATCTTGCATCAACATCTACATTTTCTTCGTTCCAGTGAGGATTAAATCTGCCTACTCTACCAGATATTCCACCAGAACTACGATATCTTAACGATGATAGATGTAAATCTTAAACTTATAAAGATAGTGAAAACCTTGGAGTCCCATCATACTGCGAGATGCCGTTATCAACAGCATCGATTTGTTCCATGAAGCTTTCATACACTCGCTCATAGTAAAGATTAACTTTCGGGTCATTTTCTTCCAGTCCGAGAAACTGTAACACACAGATTGAAATTATACAAATTAAATTAAGCGGTACCTCTTGGATGAGTTGCTTTCCATAATGAGCATAAACAAGACCAGCTGAGCTTAGCTTGGAGTTGAAAGGAAGTATGTTCAATGTTTGCATGGTATGTGTGAACTCCCTGAATGATTATGTGAGTAAATTTCTCCGAAACAAATTCACTTCTGATGATGGTCGTATCTCTTGGAGTCATGGTCATAAATTCCCCCTACATCCACAACAATATCACAAGTCTTGAGGAGCTCAGGATCTCTGGTTCTACGAAAAAAAATATGAAAATATATAAACATGAAGAAACCTCAGAATTTCGAAGTCTTTGAACTCCTTAGTATTCTTCAACATGAAACAAGCAAGTGCTTCATCGCAATGGAATTTTCCATTATGAGTTCCAATTTTACCCATTATATTTAAAGCGTTGATAATAGATTTCCGAAAAATACTTGAAATGTGAAGCTGATGATACAACCACAACCGATTTTACTGAATTGAAAATTCAGAATGAAAAATGCAATTAGATTTTGCGCTCCATTGATAAAATTTTTCTAACTGTCTGCTTCTCTCTGAAAAAGATGCTGAACATTATTCTTCAACAATGCTGTATTCTATTCCGATCTCGTAATTTTAAGATTTTTATATTTACGTTAAATGCATAATAAGTTAATGATTCTCTAATAGTACATGATCATTGTAATTCGTGTAATCTGCTTATATGTGTCTTAAACCGAATGAAGAAGAATGAATGCTTAAGATTAGAAAAGTCCGAAGCGTTATACTCATCATTCTAATTTGAGTACCGTTTTACTCAAGTTTTCATTTTTTAATTATTTCAGGCAAATGTGGTTCGAACAATTCTATTCAGGAGTGATCACAACCGCATTCGTAGCTGCTGCTTGTTACTTGAGCTACCCCTTCAACAAATGGGATGTTGGCCGTGCTTACCGTAGAAACTATTGCACCAACGAAAGGTAACTTAACCTTAGCTTCTAGCTTTCATGATGTTATCTTTACTTACAGAGTATACCTTTCTCAACGTGATCACCGCCTTACCGGAAACCAATATCGTATTTCCGATTTGTCTTCCATTGCCGAAAAGTAGATATGGATCATTGTAGATTAATAGTATAGCAAAAGCTTGTGAAACTCCGTATTAATTGAAGTCAATGAATCTATAGTTTCTCAGAGAAGTCATCAGATTATTTTTCTTGTTTTTTAGATACAACTTTGCAAGTGATTTTACTAGGTAGAGCATCATAATTTGCTGTTTAAAAAGAGGTGACTTATCCGCATCGTGAAACTATCATGAGCTTAAGTGCTTGTTGAAGTTTCACATAAGTAGAAGGTTACTCTTTCCAAAGAAATCAAACAGATTCATTCGAAAGAGAGCTTCATGAAATGTTCCAAGATTGTCGTTACAATCTCATATAATATTTGCCTGATTGATATGAAGGGTAAGAAGAGAAGCATTAGGAGAAAGCATTTCGATATATTCTGTACTTTTCTCGAATGCTTGAGTTGCAAAAAAAAGTGTTCGATTGAGGTCGTAGGAATTATTTGACATCTTGGAAGACTGAAGGACAATCAGACTCTGTTGACTTGATGTGGTAGTAATGCAATGAATGATTTGAAATGTCAGCTGTTTCACTTATGAAACATTCAGTGCTTATGATGCTACTCTTACCTATTCTCCTCCTTTTATTATCTTCATCATTTGGTAACTGAAGTTGTTCTAAAGTTCAAAGTGTTATACTTTCCTAATACAGACGTATCGGACGCTTGTCGCTGCGGATATGGATGGTTCTATAATATTAGAACCCATTCTTGTTATCATACAGCTCACCATCCGCTGCCTTGGTTTGATGCAGAACAGTTCTGTGAATCGAAGCACAGTCACTTGGTGTCTGTTGGTGATTATGAAGAGAAGGTTTTCGTTGAAAGTATTGTTATATTCACTTTTAGTCAACCTACAAACATATATTTTAAAGATTTGATTGATCACGAATTTTTTTCGTGGATAGGCCTGTCAAGAGAAGACAAAAGTTCGAATTTTTCTTGGACTGATGGTAGTGATGTAGCCTATACGATTTTTGACCAAAGCAAGTTAGAACCTCATTTTGCAATTATTCTTTGTCACATTAGATCAACCTGAAGACGGAGATTGTGTTGCCTGGTCCATATTCGAAGATCAAAACATTTGGAAGTTCATTTCATGCAATTATTCTCAGTTCTTCGTCTGCAAGAAACAGTCTTCTTGGTAGGCAGATAAGTATGCGATTAACTTTCTGATGTTTAGCACACTCCCAACTATCATCAGCGGGAAAACTGAAGGAAACATCGCTAGCCTCGGTTATCCCGAAGGATATCCTGAAAACTTATATGATCAAACTTTGATCGAAGTTAGAAGATCATGTTAATCGTCATATTTAAAGAATTTTTCAGGTAGACAAAGGAGCACAAGTGACAATACGTATAGAATATCTCGATACTGAAGAAGATAATGATGTTCTCACCATCTACGATGGCAGCTCATCTCAATCGCCTATAATAGCCAGGTTAATTGAAGCAACTGCTCTGCGTAGAAATAACATCAAAATTGAATTTATCCTGAGCATCTTATCTCCAACTTCAGATTGTCAGGCTCTTATAACAACATAACTTATGTGGCATCGGTTAATGCTGTACTGCTCACCTTTAGGACAGATGACATGTTTTATGGTCGGGGCTACAACGTTACTTTCGAAAAAAAGTATGGGCTCTTGACTATCGTTATTCCTCTTTTTCTCAAGCTATGTCCGGGACACAATTCATCTCAATGATACGACGCGTGTTATTAGCAGCCCAGGCTATCCAAACGTTTTTCCCATGTTCATCTCTCAGAACTATTCCATCACTTGTGGAGAAGAAAACCATGCTCTGTTCAACCTGACAGGTGTGTGAAAAAACAGACTATGTTCTTACGTTTGTTAAAGATGTGGATATTTCGGAAAACGATGTACTCACGTTTCACGATGGACTTTTACAGGAAAGCGTCTTACAAGTGTTAGTGTACATTCCAATTATCAATGACAAGTTCTTGTTTCAGATTCACAAACATGACTTTGAAAAAAAAAGTTCATCTATTTCGAAGTTTCACAGACACAGTTATCATACAATTTGAGTCATCCGAAAACTCAACGAGACACACGGGATGGAATTTACAGTACGATTGCGCAAGAATAGATGGAATGGGAGATGAAATTATTATTTAAAAATAAACTGTCAGAAAAAATACTTGAGCTCACTCGAGAACAAAGAGACCACAATTGGTAAGGACAACAGATTAGTTCAAATGAAATGATCCAGATGGTTCATCAGCCTTGGAGGTAGAGGGGGTTTGATTTTCTGGAGTGCTGGGTTGGCTCTGACTCATGGTTGCGAAGACTTTCTTGAACTTCTTTCGGTCAGCATCATTGATTTCCTTCACTTTTTGATTACACAAAATGATTTGCTGTTGAGCAGCCTGTAAGGAAGAAAGATAAGCAAAGTTATCATCTGATATATCATACACTATTATTGGGATCCAGCTCAAGGACTTTTTTATACAGTTCTTTAGCTACAGGGAAATCATTGAGAACATAGTAAGCTCCGGCTTTACGGAACATAGCTTTCACGTTCACTGGAGATTGTTCCAATGCCTGAGACAATATTAACTAGTGAAATAACAAAGAAGAACCCAAAACCTTATCGCAGTACTTGATACATTTTACGTTGTCGTCACTTTTGCTGGCGACAAGAGCCATGTTGAGGTAAGCAGCAAGCAACAAAGCATCTCGTTCCTGAAGTCATATCATCTACCGCTCGAAAGCTTGCTAACTTTTTTTGATTCGTCGTCCATGGATTTCTCATATTCCAACAGATGCTCCACTCTTGCGTACTTGGACATGGCCAGCTTCAACTTTCCTTCACCCAGGAACTTTGTACCTCGTTCCTTAGTTTCTTTTGCGGCTTCAATTTTTTGAGCGCTCGTCATTTCCCACGTTGCTGGTACCTAAACTGATTCATAGAATAAAGCGAAAATATGGAAAACAAACCTTCTCGAAATCCTTCAAGAATAATGTAAACTTGAGCGGAGCGTTAGGTGGCAAGTTAAAGTCAGAAGGAGGGTTGCGTCCATATGTATATTTTCCTCCCTTGATGTCAATAACGGATTTTTCTCCACGGCAAAATCTTTTCAAAGCTTTATCAACTCCATCGGGAAGATCAACTAAAGCAGCCTCTCCAATAGCAAAAGTTAAGTCCCTGTCATAGAAAACTTTCCCGTCATGCTCACCAACAGCATGTACTGAAAAGAGAAAGTTGAATAACAGCTTGACGAAGGAACGAACCATGAACATTGCTTGTATCATTGGGGTTAGCAAGCTTCTCTCCTTCAACAATGATATTTCTCACGATCGTTCCGTCATTTTCTGGAGACATATCCTCTCCTTGCCAGGAAATGAGCTCAATCTAAACTTTCCAATGATAAGGGAACTAATTAAGCTCTTATGCGTTAAAATTCTTTCCCGATTCGGAAGGAAAAAGTTGGGCAAATTAGGAGGAGGGAAAGACAACGCATAAGAGCCACTAATCATTTTGAAAACCTCAAAAATAAGGGTTGCTCCTCCAGGAATTTTGGGTGGACTACCACTTGATCCATAACCGTAATCAGATCTGATTTTGAACTCAGCTACTTCGCCTTCTGTCATAGTAGCTACACCAATGCTCCATCCTTCAATAACCTAAGAATCATCATTCATTGAGTTGATTCACACAATAACAGACGCCTTGTCCCAAAGTGAAATCGAACTCAGTGCCGCGATCCCTACTGGAATCGAACTTATCTCCATTTTCCAAAGTTCCAACATAATGAACCTTAATATCAAATTTAAAATCGAGCTGAAAGTAGATCACTACATACATGAACTTGATTTCCTTTCATAGGCTTCAAATTGTTCTTTCCTGGCGTTTTCACGAGCTTAAGCACTCCGCCATCCTTCTTGGGAGTAACGTCGACATAATCGGTGCTCATTTCGGGAACGATGCTTAAAATAGTAGATTTGCGCACAGAACTGAACAAGATAATAGGTATAACAGTTGTCTAACCACGGGCATAGCAGTTCTAGCATATTCTACGCTTTTCCAGCTCCGTTACCGTAATATAAAAAGTCGTGACTTCAAAAATAGATTAACAGTCGGTATCCACGTACTTTCCTCTGTAAATTTACAGGTTCCACATAACTTTTAAGTATTGGATGATTATATCCTCGTTCGAAAGTTCAGAACCGCTCTAATACAACCGCTCTATTGTCGAATCTCTTCGGAAAATGAAAATCTCAAGGTTCACAAGAAGACATCATAGTGCACGGAAAAAAACTCAAATTATTAATTTAAATAAATCAGTCAGCTATACTCTCAGAAAGATCTATTGGAATCTTTATTGATACAAATATATTAATCGAGAGAAATCAATCCTTTAATGCTCCTAGCTACCGGTTTGCCCTCTACTAAGCCGTCAATCAGTCTCGCGAGAACCTGTACATGAAGCAATACTATAATAAAAGCTGAATAAAGTTGGCATACCCTATCAATATCGGTGTCTACATAAACCATCTTAACGAATTCTTGAGAATGAGAGACAATATTAAGACGTCTAGAAATGTAGTCATCTACTCGCGAAATCTGGAACTTCATTATGATGAGCTACTGTCTAGTGACTAACTCTTGATAACTGCAGTCCTTTGTCTTCTAATGTGATAGCTTGAGATTCATAATTTTTCAACTCTTTTCCTTTCACTGTGCGCAGTTTCAATTCCAGAAGGAGACCTTCATCCAGTAGGCCAGCTTAGTGTTCAAAAGTTAATTTTGGTGTTGAGTATATGCTTACCTAGTTTGAGCGAAGTATCTTGAATGAAACTTTCGACTTCCTCGTCTGTGCGAGCCATGAAAAGAATAGTATGTTTCAACCTTTGTCGTGCGTTCGATAGATTCGTTTTGTTCTTCTAAAAAACTGGCGTCAAGACAGAATGAGTAAGAGTTTCACCTTAGCATAGTAAGCCATACCTATGCTCTGTAGGGTGATAGGCCAATTATTTTTCTCTGAAAACTCTGACCGTACGAATGGTGACAACAAAGCGAAAATGGAATTGCCAACTAAATGAAATAGGTTTCAGAAAGAAGAATAAGATAGCATGTTACCCAAGTAACTTTTAGGAAATTTCTCAGATCCATCTGTGAAAGGCATGTATAGATCAAAGTTAACATTAGCAGCTTCTAAAAGAGCAGCTCTGGCAAAGCAAGAAGGAGATATCAAAGTTGCATCAGAGAACATGTCGAGCAAATGATGCCTGAAAGAAATCAAAAGAACTTAACTCAGTGAAATATTGTCTCACTCTAAATAGTTTTGTAATAGAACTGGAAATCCTACTAAATGAACCACATCTGCTTCTTTTTCAATTCTCATAAGACCTTTACTTTGTAAGTAGTCCATGTGAACTGAAACATTCGAAGTAAGAAAAAAGAGCTCAGAAATAACCTGATTGCTTAAGCATTTGCTTCTCCTCTTTGCCCACCTTCTTGACAAAATTAGGGAGCGAAAGAGCGGATAGTAAGCCTTGCTGCTCCGCTCTCAATTCCTTTTTCAAATCCTGTGCGTTTTCCTGGAGTAAAGAATGTTGAGTATTCCTGCGACGAGCAGTTTTCACTTTCTCGTTTTTCCACAAGTTATATTTGGCCCACCAATTATCATACCCTTCTTTCACTTCAGTCAGGTCAATTTTGGATCTTCTTTCCTCCAAACTCAATTTCATTGGTTCGATATTATCAAAGATATGCCTGAGAATAAAAATATCCAAACAAAAATAGATAAAATAACCTTAGATCTACCGAAGGATCAACAACATGAACGTCTCCTCGTCCTGTATATTTTGCAGCAAGGAAAGACATTTCCCTTATGGGAATGATTCTTCTCCCGATCATCTGTTAACAGTCAAGATAACTTTACATCCAAAACCGCAAAGAAGTCTTTGGATAAAGCCACTTTATCTACAAGAAGCACACGTTGACTTAGATAGCTTTTATTTACAATAAAAAAACATTGTTTAAACTCAATTATGAAAGTGAAATCATCGACATTAAAGAGAAGAATCGAGAACAATAGTATTGAATGTTGAGGAACTGTTGGAAATAAAACTAATGATGATAGGGGGGCTTTACAATGTCAACCCCATATTCTTTTAGAACAGGCTCGAGAACTTCACTTGTTAAAGTGTATTTTGTATCCTTGGTTCCCTTTTTGGTTTGTCCTAAACCCTTCATACGAGCTTGTTGCATGGAATCCAATACAATATCAGAAATATATTTTTGAGTTGCTAACGAGATCAACCTGCGATTAAATTTAAAAATCATGTCTTCTCTCTTTGAGCTCACCTAACTACTCGAGGATCCGCACAATCGATACCTGCAGAATTCATATAGTGCATAGTAACAGCATCTGGTATCGTCGGAGCATAGTCTTCGAGATTATTAATGAAATCTCTCAGGTTTGTACCTGGAGGAGGCTGAACAAAAAATGTGAGTAGCCACTAACGATGATATGGGAATACCTGAACAGTAGTTTGTATCAAATGTTGCTGGGCAGGCGTCAAAGGTTTTGAAATTTGTGCTCTGTAATGATAATACTAGTAGGACAAAAACGAGTCTAGTCAGATAGTTATCTCAACATGAAGTAAACCATACCTAACTTGACGTACTGATGGCTCGCTTGGTAACCCTGGGTGATGCATAATCGGTTGCTGTTGTTGATGCTGATGTTGCCCTTGATGATGTGGTTGATGAGCTTGATGTTGTGGCTGAGGCTGATGTTGCTGAGGGTGTATCTGCTGATGTTGAATTGATTGTTGTGGATGCTGTTGCATTTGTTGATGTTGTGAGTGATGCGGATGTTGATGTGTTTGTTGCATCTGTGGAGGTTGATGAGGAATTTGTTGCTGATATTGGTTTTGTGAGGACATAGGATTTCCATAGTTATGGAACTCAGAATTATTATCAGCCATCCCTATAATGATCAGATACTTGAACTTATTACTAAATGAATGTTATCGGCCAAAAAGAGGTAATCAATATAATATTTAAATCAGTCCTCCAATAAAAAGCCAAATTTGCATGCTGCTCCATGGAGACCAGTTCAATTTAAAATTATGACTAGTACGCAATGTAACTCAATAAGATTGGCCCTTTTCGATCACACGCCAGTTTCACCTTTTGGCACTTTACGCTGAATAACAACTTTTCAAAAGGTAAATAACGTTCAAATACTCGTTTCACTCGCCAAATATATTAGAAAACATGATAAGAATAATATGAAAAGAGTTAATGAGACTCTGTATGAGAACGCGCTTGAACTTTGAATTGTATGTGTAATAGTTCACAATACGTAACCATGTAATACCAAAAGTGCATTAAAACGGGGGGAACCTTTCGTTAATACTATAAAGGGAATAGTCGTCCATTCATTTCTCGTGCAAATACAACAGCGAGCTCCTCGTTTAATTAGCAGAATTGTTGAAACAGAACTAAGGAAAAGGTTCAGCCTGCAGAGCACACTCTGACATTCAAAATTCTGGAAGTTTGATTATTCCACGTGCAAACTCACGTGCTTCAGTAAAACTTTATACTTTAATTTTCAAAGAAAAATGGCGAAAGATCGGTTGTAAATGCCATTCTCACCAGAATTGTCGAATTAGTTTTGATTTTCTGAATTGAGAGTCCAGTTCTTCCTTTGAGGTACATCGGAAGTAATAATGATATATACCCGTTCGGAACGTCATCAACTGTTTTGAGAAGTTCACTACATGTGATACTTCATGCATCAGCGTGTGTCAGCGGCATCTTTCAACGTTGACTGAATGTACGATGCACAAGGAACACCGTAGCAAGAATCGGCTGACCTTGATTGTGAAATGTACAGAGATTTCAAAATTGCTAGAAGAGAGAATAAGCTGATAGTTCATGGTAAAATCAGATTTTTTAACGATCATATTAGGGGTATGAAACCGTATTTGGGCTCACACCAAACTGATATTTCGCGTAAATACACACGTACTCCGACGAATTTTCGAACTTTCATTCCGAACATCGAAAGACGCTAGAACGGTTGTTCAAAGTTCTCAACCCCTTCAGCTTCAGGCTCTCCCGCATTCAAAACACCAATCTCAGAAAAAACCGTAATCGTTTATCACATTAGATAGTCCATATATACAAATATACATAGGTATTTTTAAATAACCACTGAGTTTCCATTTGATGAGAGCGATATATCAGATCCTTCGCTTAGCTTGGTATTGGTTCTACTTGACTGGAAAAATGTGTTGGAATAAAATAACAATACGGGGACTTACAGTACTCTCTTGTTCATCTTCTGGTGAAACACCACTCAGGTCTAACCTTTCTATTCCAAAAGCGACACGATCTCTTTCTGATGGTGGCATATCTTCCTCCTAAACACCAACTTTGCTATACTATAATTGAACTTGTAATCACCATCAGGGTTTTTGGTTCCGTCATAAACAGCATTCTATCTGTATCAATCCAGCTGAACCCTTGTTGCTTTCCACTGGATCGTTCCCACCAACTACTTTTCTCTTGCGTTCCACAAAAGTTCATCATCCTCTCTCTAGCAGCTTCATGTATGGAAGAGTCCCAAGGAGTCAGCCTTTAATAGTATGTTCTCACTAAAAACTCATAAGACACATACTTAATAGCATTTGCGTCTTCCATATGAGGAGGGTCATCATAAACTTGCGCTCGACTAGTGTTCACACAATCTTCGCATAATGCTCTGCAAAACTCTTGTATGATTATGAGGTTCTGGGAAGATCATATCTCACTTAAACTTGTCTTTGTGTTCTTTCCATAGAATAGCTGCTTCCGGATTAGAGCAACTTCCAAGTTCAGCTTCATAAGAAAAAAATATGCGCTGTAAGCATGACATGAAGTACTTCACATAACAGTCACTAACCTGAACAGCGATTAAAATATTTAATATATTATGCTTTTCTTTCTTGAATCCATCTGGGAATGTCCTTTGAAAAAGAAATTGAGATGATGTGATGCGATTGGAAACAAAATTTACTTTTTTAAATCCAGAATATGAGGTGACTTTGGACTAATACTTGGATGGAACACATAGCTTTCGAAAGTCACAGTCTAGAAATCAACTTGGTATTGTGAACAAAAGCTTTAACCTTACAGGTATAGTTCTAGTATTTGGAAAATCGTTCGGAAATTTCAAGGTGAACCTGAAAATACCTCCGCCATAGTATCCACGACGGACGAAAAGGATCCCAAACCAAACTACAAAAAATTTCATTCATAACCTCAGAATAATTACAAACCGTAAACATCGTTGAAGCTTGGGACTATATACAAGCCATCGACGGGACTGCGACAAACTCTTGCACTACAAGGGATGAGAACTGTCGGATAACTATGAAAAACCCTACTATTCCGTATCTATGGCGTGACGAATCTTTATGCCTGATTTAATTGAAAGTTTTTCAGGAACTTTTGCTTCTTCACCAAGTTCATAAGCTTCCATAAGACTATGAAACTCTTCAATTCATTTCAACTTGTTTCTCATTGTGGTAATGTTCAGAAAATAGCCTTGGATAATACCATGGATTGAATAAAATATTCACATTGACGACCTTTATTTTTCTAAATACACTACACTCAATTAATTAAGAGCCGGGAGCCTTGAGGCCGGTGTATGGTGGAAGAGGCTTTCCGTAAGCGAGAGTGACGAGGTTGTACAGACCGATAACAAAACAGGATGTTCCTGCAAATTAACATAAAAAAAACGTTCGAAAGTAATTGAAAAGGATACCCAGAATCTTAACGATGGTAGAAACTCCACGATCGTAAGGTCCAGCTTCCTCAGACTTCTTTCCATCAAGAAGAGCTTGCTGAAAAATTTATAATAAGAAAAGGTTTCGCAATAAAACATACAGAGTAAGTTTCAACTCTTTTGCGAAGTACTGGATCATAGAGACCGTACTTTCCCATTACGAGCTTGCCGACACGTGTTCCCTCAGGAAGACGAGGAAGGATCTTTCCTCCAGCCTTAAAATTAAAAATCAAATGATAACTGAAATAGAAGTCGTACTCCGAGTTGCCACTCTCCTGGATTGAGAGGGTCGAATTGCTCAACGGTTGGTGGGACCTGCAATATTTCTGTATACTATGGAAAAATAAAAATAATAACCTTCCCAGCATTGGTTGGGATTGCCTGGAAGGAAGCACAGCGGAGTTGGTTACGAGCAACACCCAAAGTACGGAGAGCCAACGACATCGTTCTAAAAAATCAAGGTTTAAAAGCTTGAGTAAAACAGTATAGCAGAAGTATCAAACTCAAAAAGCGAAATGAATAGAAGCGTCAATCAACAATCAATTTGAATAGTCAAAAAAACTTTTAGAACGTTACAGTAAAAACAAATAATAACAAAAATAATGTATTAAATTGTATAAAAATTTTAGCAACCGCCCAAGTCGTGAAAATCGTACAAGTCTGCGGGATCGTTGCGGGACCATTTTGACAAATCCAGCCGTTTCGAATATTCAAAAATGGAAGCCTGTATACTTTGTATAACAAAAAAATTAATTAAGATGCTTTTATGGCAATAAAAATATTTTTCGCTTAGTTGAATAAATCTTAAACTTTCAGTTATGGCTGCTGTAACCGCAGCACCTCCAGTTGAGCCAGTGAATCAAGCAGATAAGCCTGTTGAAAAGAAAGAAGGTAGTAAATAGACTCTATTGTGTTTGAATACAAGATATGTTTCAGATGAGAAGATAGATGAACAACGAAAAAAATTATTGAACACAGTATTCAGATCCTTAAAACGCTCTCATGATCTTTTCAGTTCAGAATATATAAATTTCCCTGAACCAACAGAGGATAGGTAACTACTTCACTTCGTATAGCTCTAAGATTCCTTTATTCAGTGTGAATTTCTTAAAGAATTTGAAAAAAAGAGATGAATATGGATCTGTTCTGCGATTTGTTGAGGAAAATAAACGTCGAGAGGAGAATGAAATGCTAAGGGTAAACTTTTTGTTTTTTTTCTTGTGTATGATGTCTTTAAGCTACCTGCTGGGCAAACAAGTATTGGTGGAGTTGTTGCGAATGCCGACGGTCAATTGGCTATCGCTGGAGGCCCAAGTAAAATTGTTAATAATAGTAAACCACAAGGGTAAATTTCTCATTCGTTTCTTTTTTTCAATCTGCATTCCTTAGGCAACTGTTACCAACTCTTCCTGTGGGCTCATCAGGAAAGGCCGAAGATAACAATACCAGATCTCTTCTTCCGCTTAAAGCGCCTATGCTCATGAAACCAAAATGGCATGCCCCATGGGTTTTGTATAGAGTTATCTCAGGTTTATCAATTTCAAGAACAAAAAAAATTCGAGTATATCAGGTCATACTGGGTGGGTCAGAGCCATCGATGTTGAACCACAGAACCAATGGTTCGCTTCAGGAGGAGCTGATCGTATTATCAAGGTACCACTTTATAATGAACATAGATGATATCACTTTCCTCAGATTTGGGATTTACCGACAGGAAAATTGAAGCTTTCACTTACTGGTCATATCAGTTCTGTCCGTGCCGTGAAAGTTTCCGATAGACATCCATTCCTCTTCAGTGGTGGTGAAGATAAGCAGGTTGGGAGTTTAGAATTTGAGTAGTTGACATAATCAGTACTTTGAAGGTTAAATGTTGGGATCTCGAATACAATAAAGTTGTTCGTCATTATCATGGACATCTCAGTGCTGTTCAAGCTTTGGACGTGCATCCAACTCTTGATGTTCTAGTCACAACTGCTCGTGATTCTACAGCTAGGGTAGGAAAAACATGATATAAGGATTTCATGTGATTATATTTAGGTTTGGGATATGCGAACCAAAGCACAAGTACATTGTTTCGCTGGACATACCAATACTGTAGCAGATGTTGTATGTCAAGCGTCTGATCCCCAAGTCATTACTGCTTCTCATGATTCAACTGTCAGACTGTGGGATTTAGCTGCTGGTAGATCAATGTGTACTTTAACCCATCACAAGGTGATTATTTGCGTTTAATACTTATTCATGTGGAATATTACAGAAATCTGTGAGAGCTTTAGCTCTTCATCCACGATTGTTTATGTTTGCTTCAGCTTCTCCAGATAATATCAAGCAATGGAGTTGTCCTCGTGGAGAGTTTATGCAAGTACGTTTCTTTCTCTCAGATCTTGCTAATTTGTTATGTAGAATCTTGCTGGTCACAATACAATCATCAATTCAATGGCCTGTAACCACGAGGGAGTACTAGTTTCAGCCGGAGACAATGGTTCTATGTGCTTCTGGGATTGGCGTTCTGGATTCTGTTTCCAAGTTCGTTTTTTTCATTCAACAGTTCAATTATCGATATTCACAGAAAGCGGCTACAAAAGCTCAGCCTGGATCTATTGAGTCCGAGGCTGGTATATATGCTGTTCGTTTTGATAAGAGTGGTACGAGATTGATTACTGGCGAAGCCGATAAATCCATTAAAATGTATAAAGAAGACGCGGATGCTGTAAGTTATAAATCAAATCGGCTCATTCCAAACAATCTTTTAGACCGAAGAGACTCATCCTATTGTATGGAGACCGGAAATTATCAAACGGAGAAATTATTAATTCTTATTATTATTTGTTTGTTGATGCCCCATCTCACGTTCTCATAAATATCGTATATAATGCATTTTGCGATGTCCTGGTTGTTTTTAGAACAGTTTCTAAACTGACATATCTAGTTGATCTCAGTACACATTCGAGGGCAAACTTATAATACTTACAGCAATGGCGAATAGAACCGTCAGAGATGCCAAGACAATCAAAGGTACCAACCCTCAGTACTTGGTTGAGAAAATTATCCGGCACAGAATATACGACAGCAAGTATTGGAAAGAGTTCTGTTTTGCTCTGACCTGTTAGTTTTCTTCAGATATTTTTAAATGAGCCTTTGTTCCACGTCGGATGAAGGGTTCCCACGTGAATTCCAATTTCACGTAAATTCTAATTCCACGTAATTTCTATAATTTCTATGAGAAGTACATTACGCTTCACTTTTTGATTTGTTCAAACGAGAGCGGTTGCACTTTAGTTGTTTCCCGAGTGTTTTTGTTATATTCTCCTTTTCAGCCGAGTTGATCGTCGATAGAGGAATGGAGCTGAGATACATTGGGGGAATTTACGCGGGTAACATCAAACCAACACCATTCTTATGCTTATGTCTGAAAATGCTACAAATTCAGCCAGATAAGGAAATTATAATAGAGTTCATCCGGCAAGAAGAATTTAAGTATGTTCAATCATCTTACCCGACTTCAAGCTCATCTTAGGTATATACGAGCGTTAGGAGCGATGTACCTACGGCTGACGTTCAATAACGTTGAAATATATAAATATCTAGAGCCGTTGTTCAACGATTATCGGAAGTTACGATATATGAGCCGAGAAGGAAGTTAGTTTTACAGTAGATAATGGAACCTAATACTTGTTCCAGGGTTTGAAGTTCTACATATGGACGAATTGGTGGACCATCTTTTACGCGACGAACGCTACTGCGATATACAGTTACCTCGTTTACAGGTTAAAGCAAAAAAACAGAGATTTCTAGGGAGTTTATTTTCAGAAACGAAATGCTCTTGAAGAAACCGGTGAGTTAAAAGTATACAAAAGTTTATTGGAAGATGATCTCGACGCTCTAAGCGAATCAGAAAGTGAAGATGAGTCTGCGAATAAAAAGAAGGTGAACATGGTTTTTTTAACTCTTGTCATTATAAATTTCAGGAGAAACCCAAACTGGTTTCGAGGGCCCTCAGTCCTAGTAGAGAACGCGATAGGTCGATAGAGAGAGAAAGGAATCGACAGAAAGATAGAGAAGCTAAATCACGTGGAGAAGGAAGGTATCAGCAACCTATAATCTAATTATCATTACCTTCTGCTGTTTCAGAGACAGATCGCGTGAACGTGATAGAGATCGCGATCGTCACGGACATGGTGATCGAGATAGAGACCGGGATCGCGAACGCGACAGAGAACGTGACAGGGATCGTGAAAGAGATCGTGATCGTGACCGTGATCGCGATCGTGATCGCGATCGTGATCGTAACAAGCGGGATGGCAAAGATAGGAAAGAACGTAATGATCGTGATAGCGAAAGAACACGAAAAGGTAGAATAGAGGAACTATTGAAATCAATTTTGTTTCCTGTAGATAAAGATGATGGTAAATCTAAAGATGATTCTCGCAACGATAGGAGAGGCAAGAAGGATGATGGGTTGTCCGTTGACGAAACTAATAAATTAAGAGCTCAACTTGGATTAGCTCCTTTGAATTAATCATGTTATAATTGTTAAATGTAAATATTCCGATTTTCCAATGAAGTATCTGGATGTAAATGTTAGAATACGTTTTTCTCCGTCGATTTGAATATGATCGATTCATACCTCCTTTCTTATTCGAAGTCTTTTGAACTTATTGGCCACGAGTTCCGGTAATTATAACCATGGCGCAGTAAGCTTACTTCAACTATCATTATGGCTCGAGAGATGCATACGTTACCATTCAAAACTCTTCATTCTCATGCTAATTTAGCTTTATTACCGTTATCCACAAGTGATTATGATATGAAAGCTAGCTTCGGAAAACAGGAAAATGAGTACTCGAGAATCGTTTCGAAGTCTAGTAATCGGCTCTTGAATGAGTTATGGGAAAAGGTATGTCATCACTCCATTTTATCAGTTTAAGTTGTTTTCAGAAAAAGATACCCGCTGAAGGATGGTCTGAGCATCAGCTCGAGTTGTTCCTTGCTTGGTTGGCCTGTCACGACTCGAATAATCGTGTTGATACTGTACGTTAATTAGAATACGTGAACGATGATGCTAATTCCTTGGGTGATCGTTTGATTATTCAAATTGTTTCAGACGCCGATTGGTGCAGGTGAAAGAGAAGGTCGCGTATCATGCCCGTTTGTTCAACGTCTCCACTGCAAGTATGTTCTTATTTAACTCCTTGTCCGGTGTTCATGAAAAGAACTCAGTATGTCTCATGGGATCGGTCGCAGTGGTAATTTATGTGAAATTCAACCAAAAGCTTTGGGATCATCAATGATGGCTTGTTTGGCGAATGAATTTGCTCTTCATGCTCTTCATGAACTAGGTAGAGTTTATGTTTCTGAACTTTATACTTTTTATTTAGGACTTCATAGTGTGAAATCTGCTATGGTGGTGCCCCTCTGTACGGGCATGTCTTTGTCCTTATGTATGGGTTCATGGAGATCCTTACGACCGGAAGCTAAGTATGTGGTCTGGCTGAGAATTGATCAAAAAAGTTGTTTCAAATCTATTATACATGCGGGTGCGGTCAAATCGCTTTGAGCTTTACATTCTCTTGTTATTAAGGCTTCAAACCGATTATTGTTGAACCGAAACGAGAGGAGGATGCTTTAGTAACTGATGTAGAAGCAGTGAATACAATACTAGAAAGAAGATCCAAAGAGGTTCTTGAAAATTTAAATAGTTTCAAATAGTTTTATCAGATTTTGTGTGTTATGTCAACAATGTCCTGCTTTGCTCCCAGATCACCTGATTCAGTCGAAGCGATTGCGGCTATATGCCAATTATATAATGTTCCTCATTTAGTGAATAATGCTTATGGCTTACAAAGTGAAGAATGTCGTAGACGAATAAATTCGGTATGCTTTTCTGACAGAAGTCACATTTTTTTTACTGTACAGGCGAAGTCATCTGGCCGGATTGATGCAATAGTGCAATCACTAGATAAAAACTTTCAAGTTCCTGTTGGTGGAGCTATTATCGCTGTTTGCAAGAAGAATAGCTTAAACAATATTGCAGAGTTCTATCCAGGTAGATATCACTGTCTTCAGTGAACCAGTGATTATCTTTCCCAGGAAGAGCATCAGCAGTTCCATCAAGAGATTTCGTTTTGACAATGCTTCATCAGGGAATCAAAGGACTAATGAATACGTTCGAGACACAGCAACAGTAATCACTACATCTTCAAGTTTCCAAAACTTTTACATTTTTCGTAGACTTTTTCACAAAATGAAACGAGAGTTGAGATCTTTTGCTGAGTTGATTGGAGAATGTGTTTATGAAGTCGATGACAACCAAATCAGTTTAGGTAGGAAAATAGTTAAGCATGCCCCATCATAAACTCCATAATGACAGCTATGACTCTCTCTTCGATCTCAGCTGAAGATCAAACGCTTTTTGGTTCCGTTTTGTTTTCACGTGGAATAACAGGAGCGAGGTTGACAGAAACATTCTCAGTGATTATGTTAAAGTACTGTATAGAGTAGTGGCTAGCACAACAACAGCATCTGCGATTGCTGGTGAAGAGTTTCTCAACTTTGGATCTCATACTTCAGAGCTACATGGAGGGTACCTTAACATCGCCTGTGGAGTTGGTACGGTTTAAAGCATAACTTGGGATTCTGACTCATTGATATTTCCAGGAATGTCAGATGACGAGTTGGACAACTTGTTTGCCAAACTCAGAAATACTTACTTTAAATTTTTAAAACAGAGACGCTATACAAGTCCAGTTACATCATTGGATAATAACATTTGTGATACTGCCTATGGGTTCCTTTAATACTTAAGTTTTACTCTTGTGATGCATTTAATTGTTTTATACTTCTAAAATTACCTTTTTATCTTATTCTCACTGAACGGTTGCATTCCAATCTAAATCAAAATAACTGATTCAGCATAAGCCATTCTCAACGAAGCACTGATTGATGTAAACAGTTATCACAATGATCTTGTTTGATCTCGAACAGTGAATTGGCAATAAATATTTTTTTATCTTCTCGTTCTCATTGCTCAGTAGTTGTGACGTGAAACATTATCAGTTTTTTTCACATTCAGATCCGTCTTCTTTTCTTTGGGTATTTTCTCGATAAATGATCACAGATATTAATGAAAGGGAGAGCATGCTTTGTGTTGGAGCTCGAATGATCATAAAACGATGCATATCAACAGAAGAGATAAGAATAAAAATTCTTCAAATTACAAAAGATCTTCATACTCACTCAGGAACTTTGTTTGACAGTATGAGGCGATCGATATCTATTTAAAGACCTAATCAAAGTTCAACTTACTGGATACTAGTACATGGACTGAAGCAGCTAAAGGACTTTCATTTCATTAATTCATTATCAATCTCTAATGTGCTTGGCAGTGTCATGCGTGATAAGCATTTGAAATACTAAGTATCTTTTGAGATCAAATCTTTTCCTTATCAGAGGTGATTAGGTAATCCTATAAAAGGCAGAGTGGTCTGAAACTTGCTACCAATAAGCGTCCATCGGAATGGTAAGTTCCTTTCGTCCTGGAATATTCGAAACCTTTCATCTGAAAGCCTGTCGATTATTCTATACAGGAGAGATAGAAACTGAATAATACTCTAACTTTCTTGCAGAAGTTGGTACTCATCGCTCTTCTGGGCTTTTCCGCCGCCTCGGCTTTTGTCGTGAAGAACCAAGAAACACTTGTCATCTCAAGCGAAGCTGAAGTTCTGTCTGGAGAAGCCTTAGCTTCTTACGTCAACGCAAATCAGAAACTATGGACTGCTAAGAATCCCAACTTGAGTGAGGAGAAGCAAAAGGCCAAGTTGATGGATTTGATGTACCTCGAAGCCCCAGCTGCTGATGAAATTGCTCCTGAACTCCAGCACATCCAACTTGACGACATTCCAACCTCTTTTGATGCTCGCAAACAATGGGCACAGTGTCCCAGCATTGGAGCCATCCGTGATCAGTCTGACTGTGGTGCTTGCTGGGCTTTCGCAGCTGCTGAAGCTATGTCCGATAGAACTTGCATCGCTTCCAACGCAAAGGTCAACCCAACTCTCTCTGCTGATGATATTCTTTCTTGCTGTGGAAGTGCCTGTGGAAATGGGTAAATCAGCTTTTCATCAGGAACTTATCTTTTAATTCTCATTTTAGATGCAAAGGAGGATATCCCATTCAAGCCTTTAAGTTCTGGAATAGTCACGGAGTCTGCACTGGAGGTCTCTACGGTTCTCATGTTGGTTGCAAGCCATATCCATTTGCTCCATGTGGAAGCCACGCTAACGAGCAAGCATGTCCAGAATCAGAATACGACACACCTAAATGTACCAGCACTTGCTTAGAATCTAGCTACAAGATCAGCTATAACGATGACAAGCATTATGGAAAGACCGCTTATGGAGTATCCAAGAACGTTGCTGCCATCCAAAAGGAATTGATGAGTCACGGTCCAGTTGAAGCAGCCTTCACCGTTTACGAAGACTTCTACCATTATACCGGCGGAGTTTACGTCCACACCGGTGGTAAGCGCCTCGGAGGACACGCCGTCAAGATTGTCGGATGGGGAGTTGATAATGGAACTCCATACTGGAATATTGCCAACTCATGGAGCACTACCTGGGGAGAAAAAGGATTCTTCAGAATCATCAGAGGAGTCAACGAAGTTGGAATTGAAGGAGGCATCGTCGCCGGACTTCCTCGAGTCTAAATTGTACATTTTGTAGATACTAATTAATAAATATTAATTTTTATTAGTTCATCTTTTTCTTTTCATTACTGATATGAGTCTGAACCAGAATTACATGACAGGTAGCATGTTTTTTCCCGGAATAAATCATGTGACAACGAGAGCCGTTTGCGATAAGGCAGAAGAAAGTCCAAAGGGGAGCTTGTGAAACGTCAAAGCTTCCTAATCATGTGACTAACCAGAAGATACAAATAGTAATTATGATATTCAATTACTCAGTTTCATTGAGACTCATTGTTTGCAAATATAAACAACAGCAAATTATCTATCGGGCCATATAGGAATGTGACCAAAATAGCTGAGAATATTCTATTGAAAAACAAAGCAGAAATTTGAACAATATCGAATAGTTTGTTAAACATATAATTAGCATGAAATATAATAAAATATTCCAAATATCTTCATTTTCATATACGCTCTTCACACAGACATCTTTACTAAAGTACGAAGCTGATGTCCAAATGTGAAGCTACATATGAACCGATTCCAACATGGTTTAAGCCTATTTTACAATTAATTGGAACTATTACTATTCCTGTATCCATATATGTATTTTGGATTATTTATTCCGTTACTCCACCATTCATTGATAAATTCTATAAATGCTTGTTAATGGAACTTCATGTTGCTGTTGTCTTTTCAACCTTGTCATGCTGTTTCTTGGTATGTTTCACTCAATTCTCAATAGTGTATATTCATAGTACAGTGCTTCTGTTGTGATAAAAACAAAAATAATATTAATGAACTTACAGGCACCAATTAACTATATGCCTTCTCTTATTTTCGTATCTGCTGGATTAATAAGTGTAAAGCCGTTTTTCGCCATCAGTGTAGATGTCTTTTCCCAACTGTTTGTTGGATCTTCCGGAATGTTTCTACTCTATCACCGTCTCAATATCGTTCTTAACAACAATCGAACTGGGTTCACTTATTATTTCGTCATATTTGTCATATTTTTATTTGGCTGTTTTCCATTTTTTGCTATCATCGTATACTATGGTTTGACATTCGATTCTGATCAGAACATCAGTAAATTACTGGAGGTGAAGCAGCTCATTACTGAGTTGAATGGCGAGACAACTCAAAAGCTTGCAGATATGCCCTCGATTCGCTGATTTTGACCTGAATCATCGTATAGTATTCATAGTTGATATGGAATTAATAGAAATGATGGGCTTTTTCATATTTTTCTGTACATCTTTCATTATTATATTTATGCTCATTTGTTTGGTTATATCTTTCTATTATTTGTGTGCTAAGCATTCAACATTATCAGAAACAACGAAGAAACTTCAATTTGGTCTTCTGATAAACCTCCTAGTACAGGTATGATTGTTGGTCAACAAGATTGCTCAGTTAAAATATTGTTAGAGTGGTCTTCCATGTATTGTTCACGCAGTGCCGTCTATTATCATAGCTGCCTTCATTCAATTAGATATCTACGTACCAATAGGTATTAATCTTTCATTCCTTAACAGCTCTCTCTCTTCAATAACATATTCTTTAACATATCCTCTCTCTCTAGTGCTTTGTCGTCATCACCAACATATTTGATGAAACAAAAAATATTTTTATTTTTTTCATTATAGACATCTCAGGAATTATCTGGTCTATCGGTTCATCTCACTGTCTCATTAACTGTTCCACGCAAATGTTTTTTAATCCGTGTTATTACTCGAAATTACTTGACGGTAATTATATGATATCTAATTATATCCTTCATACCTCTCCATTTCAGATCTGAAATTCCTACGTAACTTGTTTTATTCTCTTTTCCTTCCTACAAAGTATAATTCGACTTGCTCTAAGTCTTTTACGCGTACTGGAACGACTGTAGCATTTTGAATAATGTAATTTCCTTTATTATTAGTCTCACATCACATATGGCACTAGCAATATGCATCTCAATTTTGTACAAACGTGTGAAGAACAATGAAAGAAAGAATATAAATATATATATATATATATCCATCTATTCAATCTTGGCTGCTCCAATCACATTTTCAGTTTTATCCAACTCCCAATCCTGTTCCGACTCCTATTGGACCCGTTCCTGGAGCTTTAACTCCAACACCTCCATTGATACCAACTATTCCATTTCCATTCTTACCGGTACCCATACCACGACGATATTGCTCAGGTTGACTAGCTCCAAGCAACCCAAGATCAAATCCTATACAACATATTGTAATTTTTTGAGAAATAAATTATCATACCGAGATCAACACCAACACTTTCTCCCATGCCCGGAATAGGACCAACATCTACTCCCCAACCAACACCTACTTCCATACCAGGTACAGCACCCACACCTAGACCGAACTTGCCAGAAACCCCAACATGTCCAATCTATAACAGCAGAATTCATGCCTATCTGTTATTTCACTAGAACATACTCCTTTAGCATCGGGAGGTGCTCCCAATCGAGGACCTGGTAATTGATGCACATTAGGAACTTGACAAAATGCAGAGTAGTCCTGCAATAAACAGAAAATAAAGATTATCAATGCGTATATATTTACTTTGCAAAATTCAACCAAATCAATACGCAGAGGTTTACTTGGTTGACAAGTGAAAGCAAAATTTCCTTGCAGATCTGAGCAGAAGTGTTTGTCTTTGGGATGAAGCCCTGGATAAATTCTGGAAAACAAAAGAATCTAACTGTTTGACTGGCCTTGTCTAAGTGCACACCAAAATTAGAATACGTGAAAGTGAATCATGACGTCACACATACACGCCAGTTTCATTATGTGTTGTAAGATGCGACAGAGCGGTTGCATTGTCTCTTTTTTTATGAAAATAAAAGAAAAAAAAGAAATTACGTGTATAACGAAGAATGTTGACGACTAGACTGTTCTGCATAATATTGTCGCTGTTTATACATATAATACTCATTTAAGTTCCTAAAATGCTTTTTTCTTTTTACTTCTGGCTCATACGGAGATCTGAACATGGTTTCTCTTCAAATTTGTGTCTGCAACAGCAAACCTTGTGGTAATATCATCAAAAGGATTGAGATCATCTTCACTTTTTTTTGCTGAACTAATTTCTTCTCGTTCTTCTTTCTTAAATAGATTTGTAAATGAATAAAGTATAATTATGATTACTTCTGCCAATTCTTTCAATCGTTCATGTGTCAGACCAACACTTCCCAAACTACGAGATCCAGAGGATTCTTTAATGAATGATAAACTTTAAGAGAGTATGTAATCTCTTTCAGATATACTGTTAGAGAGAGAGAAAGAACGAACTTCGTAACGATTGACATGTTGATAAATGAGGTTCAGCTTTACATAATTCTTCTTTTGAAAAAGAAAGAAAACCTTGTGCATCTGAAAGAGATATAGAGATATGAAATGAACTTTTCGAAAAAGGGCAAAGACAGATTTTGAAAGAAATTATTGAAAGAGCTCACCAATTAAGGATATAAAGGACAGTCCGATGAGATAATGAAAATAGAATTTCAACATGAAGTGTGAATGATTTGAGCGTTTCTGTTTTTCAATTGAAAGAAAACTTGGGAATGGAACAGGTAGAAATATGAAAGAATAGCCCCCAAAGAAAGAAACTTAAAGAGAAAAAAGGAATTGTCTATATAGAGAGAGAGAGATAGAGAGAGAGATGAAAAGAAGAGTAAAAGAGATATAGAGAGGAAATGAATTAAGAAAGAGAGAGAGAGTGAGAGACTGATTAAAAGAGAGAGAGAGACTGATTATTACAGTAAAAAATGATTTGCGATTGGCAAATAAGAATGCAATCTTGACGATGTTCTTCGATGACAATGAAAAGCCGATGTTCTTTTTGTTTTTTTCCGTTAAAATCGATTCTGATTTGTATTATAAGTGACGATGGTTGAAGGTTTTTCTCTGTTCAATAATCTTCATGAAACACTATAAAGTCAATCATTTATTGACAACATTTTTCAATTTTTTTCTCTTTGTTTGAAAGAGATGTTTTCTATAAAAACACATATATAAGCTCAACAGGCTCTTTCTATGAAGGGGGTAAAGTGAAATCTACCTTCTACAGATCAGGTGTGAAGCATAACGAACTTATAAAGGATTGCATGTTTACAACGACGGCGAGAAGATGAAATATAACATTTTGTGGCCAAAAAAAAAAAACAAAAGTGTAGTTCACAACGATTATCAGACTAAACAACAATGAGCTTGGTGTTTCAAGAAAAGGGCAAAACTGGACAGAAAAGAAACGTTTGTGATGAGAAGAACATCTGCAGCACGTACATTTGATACCCGGATAAATGAACAGAATATAAGGAATTTTGGAAATTTGAAATTATCATGTCATCAGATGATCAACATGCAATCTCATAGCTAATGGACTGTTTCTGAATGATAAGAACATGAAAAGAACATACAACAATAAATAAGAATCATCTTCTATGCAGATGTAGAGGCGAGAGAGAGAAAAGGTAGGGAAGTTAATAAGAGAGAGAAGGAGACTGAGATTGAAGAGAAAGCTCGTCAAAAACTCATAATCCATCCATCGCCTACAAACAGATAATATAATATTTTTTTGTTGTTGGTAAATCACAGTATCAGATTGGATGTTAATCGGAATGAATTGCAATTGAAGTTTGGAGAAGAAAAAATGATTTCCTACAGTACATTTTCGTCTCTGAAGAGAGAGAGTGTGAGAGATAACTGATGAAGAGAGGGAAGAAGAACAAATGATTTTCGGTCAATTCAGATGGTCAGAAGCTGGTGTTTTTAAACAAAAAAAAGAAAATTTAAAATATTATGGGAAGAAAATAAACAAAGAAAAGATTTCTTCTTCTTTTAGAGATTTACGAGAAGTCTGGCCCAGGAAGTGGCCATTGTTAAGAACATCAAAACTGTTGATGGTGGATGGGGTGAAGCGTTCACCATTTCCGGAATGACCTTAAACATGAAAGCTTTACGAAACAGATAGTCAACTCGAACTTACTTTATTAGATTTATCAGAATCATCTTTGCGATCATATTCTTCAAAATCAATTGAGACTAGATCTGTAAGAGAGATATCAAGTTTGGAAAATGAGACGATACCCTTACCATCTTCATCTTCACCATCTTTGCCAGAAGTGAAAGAATCAATTTTGTCAGCTCCAGGGAAGAGAAGATTATCTGGAGGTGGAGCAGCTCCGTTCTAGAAATGATTGAATTTGAAATGAGTTGTAACTCTTGATATTACATGTTCATCATCTTCATCATCATCACCGTCTAATTTAGGGTTTTCATAGTCAACTAAGGGGTTTTGTTTTAAGAATTGAGCATCAGGAAGAAGTGGAGCCAATGGGTCTTCTGGAAAACGAAAAAGTTAGAACTGAGCCGGAACTCTGTTCATCATACCGATGGCACCACGACGGTCTGTTAATTTGTTACAGAAATCAGTTTGACACATACAATGTTTGCTTTTTCCATCGGGTTCAAGCCAGCATCCCTCTTTATGCTTACTGTCCGTTTCTGAACATGATCAAGTTGATTTTGGGAAAACAAAAAAATGCACAACCGCATTTGCAGAGCAAACGATTAAAAATGAAACGTGTTCACTCAACCGGTTGATACCAAATGCATATGCAAATTCCACTAACCTTTGATTGCAAGGAGACAGAAGGCTGTGGAAGTCTTGTTATCACCATCCTCAACTGAAAAAAGTGAAAATGAAAATTTCGTAAATTTGCATGTGCTGCATACAGATCATGCAGGCGACTCCTTTGCAAAATCGTTCCTTCGTGCAATCTTTATGATCAGGCCCGGTATTATAACAATCATAACAGGTTAAGGTTACAGAGACTGTAACGCAGGTTGCCAAAATCAAGATGATTTGATTGAACATCTGAAAAAGCTATAAATAGTAACATCTACGGAGCAATTTTTAAAAAAATTCTGAAGAATACAAAGGAATGTACGAAGCTAAGGTTTATCGTCACAAAGAGAAATAAACAGAGGGTATGGGAGGCAAAAAAGTTTGGTCTCAGTTGATCTTCTGACGCTTCTGAACACCTGGGTGAGGTAAGCTTGTATAGAGAACTAAGCTTTACTTGTTGATTTTGTGACTGATCGTGTTCACGTGGGTTGTCGGCTCTTTCACGTTTCCTCCCTCCCACATCTCTCTCTGCTTAGCCCACTCTCTCTCTCTCTCTTTCGTATCCTTTTCTTTTCCAGTAGTTATGTTATGATATGCCTCTATTGTCTTTTTTTCTCGTCAAATAAAAATCATAAGCCACGAAATTGAAGAGGTGAGGGGGCCCATGTACGTTGCAAACGAACTAATAGTTCAACAGTTGGGTCGTCTCTTGATTAATGCAAGAGAAGTTGGAAAAAAATTTCAAACTTCATATAAGCTGATGAGGTAAGGTAGAACACAAGAAATCGTTGACGACCTTCAGGAGCAAAATAAACAAATTTGCTATTAAAGTGTTAGTTGATAATAGACTTTTGACTTTGTTTGTCTCGATCTTTTCTCAATTTTTTCTCAAAAAAAAAGAAAATTCTTTTCTCATAGTCCACACGAATATATTTTTGTTGTGAAAATAAGCTTTCAGTAGTTGACAAATGTTTTCATCTTAATCAAACGAACGATTCTCGTCAGTTCAATCGTTCTGAGATCATGAGTAAGATGATGAGATAGATGACGTATATACGGAGAATCAAGTGATATAGCTGGTAATATTCAAATTCTGAGTTACTAAGGTGATTGATCAAAAAGATTGAAAACGAAAAATGAATGGAACAGGGACAAGAAGTTCTCAAAATATGTGAAGGACAAACGAAATTTGATATGAAAAAGTCATGCGATTAACAAACTTCTTCATTGATTATCCGTACTGAATGTGGAAGATGATGAGAAGAAGAAGAAGAAGACGAAGACGAAGAATAAGAAAGTTTTTCAACTGAAAAGTACCCACTGACTGTTTCCATTGAATAAATATGGGTTTTGTGAGTGACCAGGTTGGGTAATATGAACGCAAAACAAGTTTGAGACCTCCCGAAATTCTTTCATATTTTGATAAAATTGATTAAAATTAATAGAAAATTGCGTGTGTGTGTGTAGATGTGTGCTAACCATAACTTGTTGACAAAAAACATTTAAACTAGTTGAAGAATCATTTGTTTTTGAGAGCTTCATCACGTCCTTCCTTCTTGGGTAGAAGAAGAAGAACAAGAAACGAATATTTCCCTCAGAATTTATAGAAAAAAAAGTTATTTGGAATACGAAAATGGGTCAAGAAGCGGCTTGTTTTGCTTAACAGTAGGCTCAGCAACAACATCATCACCATCCCTCCCATCTCTTTCCAAAACGATATTGCAGCTCATTGAGGAAGCTGTATGATGAGCGCTGAGCTAAAAGGCAATGAAAATGTCAAAAAATTAAGTAAAACTTTTAAGGAAAGGGCTGAAAATTGTCATTTTGGTTCAACGGAAATTGGTCGATTGTGTGGTCGCCTTTTAAGGAAAAAAAGTTTTATTCAAACGAGAGAAATACAACCAAAGCTGCTTTCTCTCTCGTGTTTGCAACATTCGTTTTCATCCTTTTTTGGTTAGCGGGGGGGGGTAGTCAAAAAATGACAAACAAACAAATCAAAAAACAAATTTTTCTGGAAAAGAGAAAGAAAGAAGAGAAAAAAGGAAGAAGAAGACGATTTTCTCACAAATTGAATGTACGATCGTTCGCGATTCATATATTTGGAAGAATAATATTGAAAATGACATTGGACAATGAAGACAAGATGGAGAGAGGGAACGGGAATGGTATAGAGCATTCATAGAGAGCAGTCGAGAGATATAACTCTCAGCTAATGGTTTTTAATCATTTCAAAAGGTAAAAGATTATTTATTTTATAAATAAATAATAATGAGCAGAATTAAAAATATTCTTCTGAGATGATGTACGGTCGAAGCAGAACTGATTGGATGGGTTGAGTCATCGTCATGAGTTAGCACATCTCAGTATTACCAAAAATGAATCGACGAATGAGTTTAGTCCAAATATTGAAGCTATTTTTTGCATGAAAAGAAGAAGAAAAGTTCAAAAAAATTAGAAAAAAATGACAAATGATGAGAGGAAATGGAGCCGACCAGTGGTGGGTTAGAGGAGAATGGAATGAAGGGAACAGACAATTTTTTGGTGTGGATATGAAAAAGCTTTTGAATAAATAAAAATTCTTGTGAAAGCTTAGTACTAAAGCTGTGGATGAAATCTCTTTTTCTTGCTTTTGATATATAATAATCATTTGAAGAATGAAAAAAAGATAAAGTTTTTTCTCTTTTTTTTTCATTTCAATTGCAGGAGAGGATATGAAAGGATAGAAGAGAGGAGCGATAGGCTGAGAGATAGGTTGAACTCTGTCTGACACAGGTGAAATGCTCGGAAATGAGAGAAGCTAAAATAGGATTGAAATAGAACAAAAAAAATAATTTGAAAGAGATAGAGAGAGAGAGAAAGAGAAGTTAAGAGAATGATGGAT